GTGGTCCTTGCCATTTTTTCTCTCCTTCTCTACCATTCAGAATTTAACATTTACCATTTTATCTGTCTAAAAAGTGATGCTGCCATTTAAGTTTAAGGATCATGATTGTTGGGGAAAATAAATAAAGCAATTATTCACCTTACACACTGCACGTGTGTGTTTGGATGCTCTCTTAGTCTTAAACATATATTTATACTTTAGCTGCCTTTATGGCCATGGTTTGAGCCCTCAAACATATGGAAGTGCTAACAAATGAAGCAGAATGGTCAATTGCAATGCATTGGTTCTTTCCACACGGTGATAAGAAATCTGTGGTGCCTATCAAGTCTTCCTCAGGCATCCTGAAAAGCCCCTGAATTTCTTCTGTCCCCACCCTTACCCCCACTGTGCACAAGCTGATAAGGTGATATGTGGCCACTCTTTTCTGCCTTGGAAAGTACATAGAGCTGAAAGAGGAAGTGGGGAAGAGTGGCAGTCTGTCCCACCTCCTCTTTCAGCTCTTTCTGCTTTCCAAGGCTCAGATTAATTCTAATGAATCCAAATTTTTACCCAGATCCCTTGGGGAAATGAAGTGTGTAAACACACACTTTCTCTTTTTCTGTCTCGTAGGCTGGGGGTGGGGGTCTTCTTCTTCTTCTTTGGCAATCACTCATAGCCGAGTAAGATTGTCTTCCATAAACACGGTTTTAACAATTCTGAATCCACATGTCCTTCCACAGTAAGGACATTGGTTTCCAGTCAAGAGTTGATCACGGTGTGGATTTGCCAAGCGTGCCTTCCTCTGAGCACATTTCTCCCTTGCGTCCTGAGTTCGAGTGTCTTCAAAGCCCATGACACCTCTGGTAAAGTTCTCACTCTAAATGCTCCCCCCTCGTAATTTAATCCCCACAACAACCCTATGAGAGAGGCTAGGTTTTAGAGTCATGGATGGCCATCTGTTATAGATGCCTTAGCTGAGATTCCTGCATTGCAGGAGGTTGGACAAAATGACCATTGGGAGTCCTATGATTCTATGACTGGCTCAAGGTCACCCAGTGAGCTTCCTAGCGAGTGGAGATTTGAACCCTGGTCTCCCAGGTCATAGTCCAACACTCTATCCACTATACCACACCGGCTCTGTAACCCCTAGTGCATGGCCTAGGCATCTCCCTTTGTCTCTCACACACTTCTTTTGCCTTGCGGGCTTGAGCCATACCAAGCCATGGCAGTTATCAACATCTACAAGCAGGGTGCCAAGAATTCCAGAATACACATCATGTTCCTCCTCAGTTCAAACCCGTTTAACATAAACACACGGTTTGCAGGAAGGGGGTGGGGGAAAACGCAGCCAACATATGTGGATGGTTTAAATTGACTCACTGTATTAACTTCCACACTACTGAAAGATGGTCTCAACCAAGGATTTTTCTACGCTGCTGAGGAAAGCTGGCCCACAGCTGTTTGTGCGAGTGCCCGAGGAGTGTCCGCGGAGAACGGCACCTTGAACCACTTTATTTCTCAAAATCCAGAGGATTTGTTACATCGGGGTTTTCAAAACATTTTTTCCCCTTGCCAGAAGTGTTAATGTGTGTCATTACAGCTGCCAAGTCGTGCGCAGTGCACCGAGACCCTCATCGGAGTTTATAGAACCTGACATAAGAATGCTAAAGAAAACAGAGGCACGATATGGAGAGTGACAGCTGATTATTTATTTTTACATATTTTTCAAAGTATCAATAAATCCATTTGAGACTTCATGACTTGAGATGTTGTAAGAACGGCAGAGAACACGAATTATAATTAAGCCGCATTCGCGCTCGACACACGCACACACAAAGAAATGGAAACAGAGGGTCTCACAGAATGAACTTTGAGCGATCAAAGGAACTTCAGTTACCTGAAAAAATGGCGGGTGGGGGGTGGAGAGGCTCATGTGTTAAGATGATATTAAGGTTTACGGTCCCATGTTGGCCTCTGAGCAGGGCCAGATTTAGGAGGAGGCAATCTCCTGGGCAAGGGTGGCTAACCTGTAGCCCTTCAAATGTTGTTGTTATATGACTCCCAGCACTCCTGACCATTGACTATGCTGACTAGGGCTGATGGGAGTTGGGAGACCAACAACATCTGGAGGGTGACTGCTTAGCCACCCCTGACATAAAACAATGCAATGTGGTCTTTAAAAGGCCCAACCCTCCGCACCCCAGTTGCTCATATTTTCTCCAAGCCCCAATACGTGTCATATCCCCTTTCAGCTCCTGGCTTGCCAACTGAGGACCTTTTGCCCAGAATTGGAAGTCTCTGCCTTCCCCTGGCTCTCTCTTTTGAGCTTCCTGGTTATGTGGAGGACAGAACTGTGAGTACCACTGAGCATGATTACCCTCCAACATTTCTCCGATGAAAATAGGGACCTTGTATTCCATAATAGTAATAATTTTATTATTTATACGCCACCCATCTTACTGGGTTGCCCCAGCCACCCTGGAGATTTTCCAACATATATAAAAACATGATAAAAACAACAACAGGGACGTCCTAAGGTAAAGCAGGACATTCCGGGATCAAATCAGAAACTGGGACAGTTTCTGTAAATCCGGGACTGTCCCTGGAAAATAAGGTCACTTAGAGGGTCTGTGCATGACTGGCGCCCCCTAGCTAGCTGTGCTGGAGGGCACTATTCCGTTGCCAGTGTTGAAATGAGATTTAACAATTAATCCAGTTGGGAAAGGAGGACACCATCTTGCTCTTTGCCTTGGGCAGAAGAGTGCATTGGGCCAGACCTGGGAGCCGATCGTCAGAAGAGCCGAGAGAGAGATGGAGGTAGATGTGAGCCACAGTGGTGATCTGAGTAAGCTGGGTGGCCAATACTGGGAGAACAAGAACTCAGCAGCTGAACACAGCAACCGATGCTGAGGAGAACCCAAACCAGAGCTGGACATCAGAAGCCAATAGTAGTAGTAGTAGTAGTAGTAGTAGTAGTAATTTATTATTTATACCCCGCCCATCTGGTTGGGCTTCCTCAGCCACTCTGGGCGGCTTCCAACAAAATATTAAAATACAGTAATCCATCAAACATTAAAAGCTTCCCTAAACAGGGCTGCCTTCAGATGTCTTCTAAAAGTCTGGTAGTTGTTGCTGCATTGGAATGGGCTGTTTCAAGTAGGGGTACCGGACGTTGTGCCCTCCAGTTGTTGTTGCCGGACTCCAACTTCCATCAGTCCCAGCCAGCATGCCAATTGGCCAGGGATGATGGGAACTGGAGTTCAAACACATCAGCAAGACTCCACTTTGGCTACCCATTTTATCTTCTCTTGACTTCAGTTAATTACCTTGGAAGTCTGTATTCATACTAGATGAAAAAGATTTCTGGTTTCTCTCCGAAAGTTGGTTGCACAACAGATCCTTTCAAATCTTGCTCATTAAATGTTTTGGGGTTGTTGTGTTGTTGTTGTTTTCTTCCTCCTTTGTTTTCTACAGCATCTTCACGGCAATTACTTAATAAATTATAAATCAATGTGTGTGCTTTTTAAGAAAATCCATAGCCGCAAAACGCAATTTGGCTAAGCAGCTTTGTGTGCACGTTTTTGTATTAATACGTATGTGGAGGTCGTGGTTCAAACCAATAGCAGCCATTGAAATGCTTTGCTGTCTTAACAGTTAAATATTGGGGTTAGCTGCCCCACCCCACCCCAGCCCCACCGGCACTTTGCTCACAATTAATAACTTGTTTTGTATGCACCTGTTGCCAGCATTTAATTTCTGTTTAGCACATTTCACAGAAAATATGACCATGTGTCAGCGTATAGTTCCTGCTTGATGTTGCATATAATTCTTATAATATTCTGAACGGCATGTGCTAATTATTTAGTACAATAGCTCATCTTATGGAGCTGTAAGCCTGGGGAAAGAAGGGTAGTAATTACCTGGAATGAGGATGTCTTTTTACCTGCAAGGAGGATGTCTTTTGTTGTTGTTGTTGAGACCAAAGGGTGGGGGCGGGAAGGGGAGGGAATCAAAATCTAAAGAGCATTCAGTTGACGAGCATTCAATACGGAAAGAGTTAAACATTTTTTGACAAGCTTACTGCCAGTAAGACTGGAATCTCTGGCTTCCAAAGGAGCGGTTTTGTGAAATGCACAGCAATTATGAAATACTTGTCTTGATTCATATATACATACACTAACAAATTTGTTTCTTCCATTTTCGAAACCAAGCTTCTTGGACCTCTTTCTGCAAAAAGTTTGTTCACTCTTGCATTTGTCTTGCAAGTTCCAGAGCTCTCTAATTTATTTTGACTTGTCTGGCTTAACCTACAGCAGAGGGCAAAAATAAATAAATGCAGCAATGGGCCTAGTGAGAAGATCAGAATAACAGAAGGCATATATATATATATATATATACATGGGGCACACAAAGATATAGTTTAATTTACATCAGAATGCTTGCTTTCATTCCCTTGTCAAAACTCAAGAAGGTACGACCTTGACGAAATACTTTGGGAAAGGGAAATTTTGTCTGGAGCTAGCCTTTTGTGGAGGAGAAAATGGACCACTAGTCAGAATGGGGATCCAAAAATGGGCTGGCTAGGAAGTGAAGTTCTCAATTGAGGCATGTGTCAAAGCAGCCCATGGTCAGTCTCACCATTTGCCAAAGTGAGAAGACCTGCGGGAAGGGTCCTTATCCCAGAGACAGGGGAGCTGCACTCCCAATCTGCCACCATGCCTTTCCAAGAACAAAGCAGGATTGGGTTGCATCCTAAGAGAGGAATCAGGGGGACTAGTAAAATGTTGCAAAATGTCAGTTTTCGAGAAGTAGCAGTAGTAATAGCAAATGGACACTTTTTTTGTATCACAGGAGCCAAAAAAGTAGATTGTCTTTGTTGCAACTATAAAAAAAAGAGAAAGCATCCTGTGCAATAGATAGTGGTAAATAATATATACTGCTTTGCCACCATCACAGAATTGTAGAGTTGGAAGGAGACAAAAGGATCATCTAGTTCAACCCCCTGCAATACAGAAATCCTTTGCCCAGTGTGGGACTCAAACCCATGACTCTAAGATTAAGAGTCTCATGCTCTACCTACTGAGCTATCCCCACCAGATGTACACTGAACACGCAGTTGCCTCCCATATTGGCTCCCTGCTGAAAATCACATTTCCAAATGTTTATTATAGGAATGCATTTGTTTAATTATTTAATTCATAGTCCTGGGCACCAGGACCCACCCAAGCCATTTTGCTGCTCAAGACAGAGCTTCCCGCCTTTGCCTCCCACACAGAGCCAGGCAGCCATGATGGTTTTGCAAAAAGAGCCTGAAGATTTTGTGAATATCCTCATGCAATATAGCTGTTCTGAAAGAATGAAAGGATGACTGAGCATCTGAAATGAAGGTGACCGCTGCACGGAGCATTACCGTTGCTGATGGCTATCTTCAATAAACAGGACGTAAAATATCAGATGCAGGGAATACAGTATTCCTCGGAAGAAATGTCACATTTCAGGACAATTCTTCTTGTTTGCTTAGAGACACCCTGATGCGGTCAAAAACAAAGAGGAGCCTTGCAACCCAGCGAGTGCCAGGTGTGTTTGCCGTGTCTTCCTTGCAATCCAAGAGAAATATCTACAGTCAACATATCAGTCCAAAAGGCTTAACAAATATAAGAATTCCGCAGCACCCAATGTAGTAGCGATGGTCGCCAGATTCTGTGTACAAATCTGTAGGCGCAGACCATCGCCCAACTCAAAATAGTCCGGCATGAAAATCCCCAAACTCTGTTCCATGGGTGACTCTGAGTCAACTCCCTGGGATAGTTTATTGTTGTACACTGTTTCTAAATTTATTGTTGTACATTGTTTTAATTGTCTGTTTTAACCATATTTGCACATCAGTTTGTAATGTTGTGAGTGTCCTCTATTTCAGAGGCTTTTACTCTGCAGCCTCTTATAGTTGTTTTATCTGCAAGTCTTTTAGTTCTTATGCTCTTACAGTTGTTTTAACTGCGTGTTTTTGTTTGTTTTTAGTTCTTATCTGTTTTAATTATCAGTTTTTATCCATCCATTATCCATGTTTAATCTTGTATTTTATTCAGATGTTTTATCCTATGCGTGTTTCTTTGTCCTTATTTGCTCTAACAATTATCGGTGAAAAAAATCCTAACTGCTATTTTATTTATATGTTTGTTTTCGGGGGTTTTATCTTGGTCTGTGACCGTAATAAAGTCCATTCATTCATTCATTCATTCAATGTAGCAGCAAAAATGAGGCTTCCCTCAGTGCCCTGCTTCATTCATCCCTCTGTGCTACTAGACTGACCATCTCTGAACATAAGAGCCTGCTGGATCAGGCCAATGACCCACCTGGTCCAGCATGCTGTTCTCAGAGTGGCCAACCAAATGCCTATGGGAAACCTGCAAGCAGGACATGAGATCAAGAGCTCTCTCTCCAGCAAGTGTTTTTCAGATGCATTGCTGCCTGCAACTGTGGAGGCAGAGCAGAGCCATCATGGCTAATAGCCGTCAATCGTCCTCTCTCCCATGAGTCTGACTAATCCTCTTTTAAAGCCAAGTTAGTTAGTCAGACCCCTTCATGGATCACTGCCTTGTTGTGGCGAAGGGGCTTGAAGAACTCCAAGGAGCTTTGAGCTATGCCGTGCAGGGCCACCCAAGATGGCCGAGAGTTTAGAGTAAATGTGATCCACCTGGAGAAGGAACTGGCACACCACTCCAGTATTTTGCCAAGAAAACTCCATGGACGTAAGAAAGAGAAGCTTTGCGAAGAGAGTGAGAGTTTCCAAGGCATGCTCTGGTTCATGGGGTCACGAAGAGTCGAACACGACTAAGACGACTAAATAACAACAACAGAAGTTATAGTGTCCTGTTTTTGGGTAACTATATCTGTGTAGAGCACGGGTGGGCAAACTAGGGCCCAGGGGCCGGATCCAGCCCAATCGCCTTCTAAATCCGGCCCGCAGACCGTCCGGGAATCAGCGTGTTTTTTACATGAGTAGAATGTGTCCTTTTATTTAAAATGCATCTCTGGGTTATTTGTGGGGCCTGCCTGGTGTTTTTACGTGAGTGGAATGTGTGCTTTTATTTAAAATGCATCTCTGGGTTATTTGTGGGGCATAGGAATTCGTTCATCCCCCCCCAAAAAAAAATATAGTCTGGCCCCCCACAAGGTCTGAGGGACAGTGGACTGGCCCCCTGGTGAAAAAGTTTGCTGACCCCTGGACTGTAGAGCATGTGTGAATGCCCTGCACGTTGGAGAGAGATTGACTAGATTTGGCCTTCTCTTTTGATTTGGGTTTGCATTAAAAACTGTGGGATTTGTGGTGTAATTTGGAGGGGCAACACACTGGCTGTTCCTGTGACATAGGAGAATGGAAACAGATCCATGAAAGTAGTATAAAACATAAATGGTCCTCGAAGCAGCTGGAGTGAGAGAACGGATTGTCAGATCAGCTGGTGCTTATTGTTGGTAGTTCCAGATCAGATCCCTGGAGCCGCTAGAAAGTGCTAATGATTACCTGCAAAAGGATGGCACCTTTCATAATTCAATTAATTTGAACCCTCTCATTTTCTCTAACACAGAGAAAATATGCTAACCTGATTTAGGATTTATTTATTTTTTTAAAAAATGTTTTCTGCACGATGTGCCAATAATATAAGATTGATTTTTCTTTAAAAAACAAAACACCCTTCCCCAAAATATCTGATTCTAAACAACTAGGCTAAGTGCCAAGTAGCCTTACTATTTACATGAATGCCAAAGTAATGTCTACATCATTTTCTTTCTTTCTTTTTTTAAAAAAGAAAGCCTGTGGGGGGAAATTAATAATTGAGAAGTGTAACAAGTTTTCTAATCACAAAAAATATTTATTTGGGAGTCTTTAGAACACATACCACCACTTTCCATAATTACAAAATGAGGTTACGCGTTAACCAGTTTTAAATCTGTCAAAATATTTTAAGCAGAATGAGAGATCTACTTTGTGAATTATTGGTTCCATTTATTAGCCTAATGATAAACTCACCTTTCACCTGCAACAGATCACGGATAATCGTTGAAACATGAAAGAAAAGCAAACAAATTGTCACATGAAATGCAGTCTATAAGGATAGCATAGGGCCCAATACATTCAGTTTTATTTAGCAAAATGCATTTGTTATAGGAAGAAAATTATTGGGGGGGGGATTGAAGCCAAAATCATTATTAAATAAATGTGGAATAAACCTTTAATTGATTCCACTTGTTTTGATCTGGAATGTTTGGTCGGGGAGGGAAATACTATAAAGAATTGGGTTGCAATACTGCATCTTTGTGGATTCACATCCCCCAAAAGCAGTTGCATAAGAGTAAAAAGAAAAAGACTCTATCTGTGTATCTAATTATAGTGAATAGATTGTTGGGTTTGAACGCTGTCCTGGCCCTTGCTGCCCGAAGAACTCAAATTCAGGTTTTGGTTTCTGTCCAGTTCTTCCATGGATAAATCTGAGTGATAAATAGGCAAAACAAGGGTTAAGGGTGTTATGGATTAAGATTAGTAGCAGTTCTCACTCAGGGCCACCAGTATGTAAATGAAGGATTGAAAACTGTCACTCCTGATTGGTTAGCTAGTTGTGAGTTGTTTCAAGTTACTTAGTATTATATAAAGCAGCCAGCTAGGTTGCAGTCAGTCTGATTCCAGGAGCAGTTCTAACTGCTGCAATAAAGAGCTGTGAATCCAACAGAGCTGTGTCCTTCGTCCATCTTTTCCACTATTCGACAAAAGACACAGTGGGTGAGTTGAATGGCTAAGTGCAAGCTAAGGTGTTTACCCAACAAGCTATGCATCTCCTGTCTCTTCCTTTTGAAGAGTGGAGCGAACACAAGTCTTGGCATGGTGAACAGCAGGTGTCTTTGCTCTGCACATGCAAATGGGCACTTCTATGAGTGGACCAGGTCTGTGAAGTTCATACATTCCAACACTGGTGCCTCTGTGACCTTGATGATGGAGGTGTCAACTCTGTTACCAATTCACTCTCAGGTGCCTTCCCAGAGGAGGCTCCTTACTGACAAGAGGGGTGGGTAGTGACAGTCCTTTAGGAGGTGCCCCACCAGAGAAGTCCAATATCACAAGGGCATGGATATTCCAAAAGACAAAACTAAATTTTTCCTATACGCAATGTCTGCAGCAAGAATCCTGGTGGCTATGTATTGGAAAGGAAATCAGTTACCCACTAGTGGAGAGTGGTTATGTAAGATTTCAGAATATTTTGTTGTTGTTGTTTAGTCATTTAGTCATGTCCGACTCTTTGTGAGCCCATGGACCAGAGCACGCCAGGCACTACTGTCTTCCACTGCCTCCTGCAGTTTGGTCAAATCAGAATATTTAGAATTAGCCAAATTGACAGATATAATAAGACAAAAAACAAAAAGTGAAGTGTAAAAGGAATGGGAGTGTCTAAATGAATACCTTCAAAGCCAAGGTTCATGGACAGAAATCTGGCTGAATCTGGAATAACCTTGTGAAGTGAAAGGATAAGAAAGAGGGATTTATATCTGGATGCTAGGATAGAGATGATAAGGAAAACAGGAAAACAGGAAGACACAATGAGAGGTAATGGAGGTGCTGTGGGATTGGTGGAAGTCAATGTTTGTTTTTCTTTTTAGTGTTTATATTATTAACTTGTAAGATATGGATTTGGTTTTTTGAATATCGGGTTTTGTGTTTTGTGTATTGTTATTTTTCGATATTTTTCGTGTTGCTGTTGTGTGGAAAATACTAATAAAATTTATAATAAAATTAAAAAGATATATATCACATGGACAAGACACCTCTCCGACAACTCACTCGAACCTTCCCTGGGATGCTGCTCCTGACTCTCTTGATCAATGGCACCCTTCTCTTGCTCAGGCAGTTCTTGAGGCCCTGATTCCGCCTCCTCCATCCCGCTCAGGCCCTCCCCCAGTTGCGTAGCTCCAACTCCCTGACCTTGTCCCCTACCTTCTTGGGATCAGCCCCTCCGCTCCAAAATCTACACAGGGCTCCCGACAGACATAGGAGTCCTGGGTTCAAATCCATGCTCACCCATGAAGTACAGCAGGTGATCTTTGGGACAGGCCACACATTCCAAAGGTCCCAGGTTCCATCCATGGCATCTCTAAGTAAGAGCAGAAATCTGGGACCTTAATAATAATAATAATAATAGATGCCTAGAATGATAGGACTTGGAAGGGACCCTGAGGATCGTCTAATCCAACCCTCTTGCCTGGCAGCAGAGGAACCAACCCCCACGGCAGGTTGCCAGGAATGGACAAGACAAGGGAAAGTCCTTACCATCTGCTTTTATTTAATATTCACAGAGAGAGGCTTGGGAATGTGGTGTCTCAGAATAATGGTGTTGCTCTCAGTAAATCTGCCCTCCCCTTCTCTCCCACCTTCTCATTTGTCATCCCTTCTGTGGTTGGCACTGAGGGCCCTTTGCTTCTGAGCTCTTTGCTCTCCTACTTTCAAGGCCTGCCTGGTCCTGGGAGAGGGGGGGTCTGGAATGCTCTCTAAAGACACTGAGTCCGTCAGCTGTTGCTCCCCTGGTGCTGCTTCTTCTTCCTTCTCCTCTCCCATTATTTCCCAGCTTTCCCCCTCATCTGCCTCTGAGCTGTGACCTCCCTCAACCCCCTGCTGTAATTCTGAACTGTCTCCTTCTTCTCTGGAAGGGTCAGGCTGGGGAGACAGACTACACCATTCCTCCTCTGCCCAGGAATACGCCGCTGTTCCATATGCAGATTGAAACTGCAACCTTGGTGTTACTGTATCAGCACTTTGCTCTAACCAACTAAGCTATGCAGTTGTAAATAATAATAATAATAATAATAATAATATAGTTTTTCCCATGCCAATTATAATGATGATGATTCAGAGAGAGTTCCAGAGTATGGTTGCCCTACGAGGGGGTTTTTGTCCACTACAAAAATGTTTTCACCCGAACTGTGAACTGTGTTTCCAGCCCAGATGCTGAAGAGGGCATGGCTACTGTACGGTGGTACCTTGGGTTAAGAACTTAATTCATTCTGGAGGTCCGTTCTTAACCTGAAACTGTTCTTAACCTGAGACACCACTTTAGCTAATAGGGCCTCCCGCTGCTGCTGCTGCTGTGCCGTTGCCGCACAATTTCTGTTCTCATCCTGAGGCAAAGTTCTTAACCCGAGGTACTATTTCTGGGTTAGTGGAGTCTGAAACCTGAAGCATCTGTAACCTGAAGCATCTGTAACCCGAGGTACCACTGTATATCCTATTCCATGCATTCACAGGTAGCTCATTACATTACAGCAGCTTGGCTGAGTTCCTACTCTATAGTGTACAGAGCATAATAGTTCATTCAGCTTGGCTTAGGCAGCCTTTGGCACTGCTTCGTGCAAACAGATTTGAGAGTCCACACTCCAGCCTGAATGCATGGATGAAAGAAAGTCAGCTTTCCACCAAATGCTTACACACACACACACACACACACACACACACACACAGGCTTTCTTTATCTCCGTGTTTTGCAAGTTACACTGTTGGGGTTAGTACAAGTTGTTAAAATGTTCCTCTTGTTATCATGGCTGCTTGCTAAGTTTCTCCTTAAAACAGTCCAACCTGTTCAGGGTGGATTCCCTCCGCCTTTTCTTTTAAAGACATCTTAATTAGTCTAATCCTGACTGGTCTTTTTCCAATGTTCCTGTTGGCACAGTTGGATTTCAATTAACATTCTGCTTTAGTGTTGCAAATGCCCCTGCTCAGATTTCTTATTTTTATTTTTATTTTAAATGTGCTATTTTGGATGCCATTTCTCTCATCTCCTTTCAATTTTCCCATCTTCAAAAAAATATATATTCTGTTTTCTAAAAGGTTTTGGAAGTGAAAGGAGTGCTGTCAATTTGTGCTATTTGAGTTTTTCAAGAAACATGGCCCTTTTCTGAGGAGCTTTTGACAGAGATTCTTTGTATGTTATTTCTCCACTCTCCACTTGGCAACCTTTTAGGGCATCATATCTATTATTATTATTATTATTATTATTATTATTATTATTATTATTACATTATTTATATGCCCCGCATCTGACTGGGTTGCCCCAGCTACTCTGGGCGGCTCCCAATAAAAAATAATAAAAACACAATACAACATCACACACTGAAAACTTCCCTGAACAGAGCTGCCTTCAGCTCAGCTCCTAGTCCCTTCATTCTCCAATTCTTAAGCTTGCGCCTAGTTATCGAGTACCTGTATTTCCAATGGTCAATGAAACTCTGGGAAAGGTTTTGCCAAAGAGTAGCTCTAAATCTGTTAAGAGAGCACAACATCTGTAGCCATGTAGAGCTGCTGCTAAATATTGCAATATTTCCAGGTGAATCTGGATGGTGGTGCTCAGTATTCAAGGAATTTGGAGGAAAGAGTTTGAGATGAATGGGGAAAGGTTGTGGCTCAGAGGGAGAACATCTGCTTTGAATTCAGAAGGTCCTAGGCTCAGTCCTGAGCCTCTCTAAGTAGGATGGGGAATGTTCCATGCCTGAACCCCTGAACAGCCACTGCTATTGTAAGACATATTCTTATGTTCCTAAGATTTGGGAGTTGTTATGCATGCCTTGCCAACAAAGGTCCGTATAGTAAAAGCTATGGTTTTCCCAGTAGTGATGTATGGAAGTGAAAGCTGGACCATAAAGAAGGCTGATCACCGAAGAATTGATGCTTTTGAATTATGGTGCTGGAGGAGACTCTTGAGAGTCCCATGGACTGCAAGAAGATCAAACCTATCCATTCTGAAGGAAATCAGCCCTGAGTGCTCACTGGAAGGACAGATCGTGAAGCTGAGGCTCCAATACTTTGGCCACCTCATGAGAAGAGAAGACTCCCTGGAAAAGACCCTGATGTTGAGAAAGATGGAGAGCACAAGGAGAAGGGGACGACAGAGGATGAGATGGTTGGACAGTGTTCTCGAAGCTACCAGCATGAGTTTGACCAAACTGTGGGAGGCAGTGGAAGACAGAAGTGCCTGGCGTGCTCTGGTCCATGGGGTCACGAAGAGTCGGACACGACTAAACAACTAAACAACAACAACAACATGCATGCCTTTACAGACAACTTTGGTCCAGGTTATTAGTCAAGCTATGAATTGGGTCTCTTCACTTTAAAATTTGGACCAAATCCCTGGTTCGTACAGATTTGAATCTAGTGAATCCAGAAGTTACATAGATTTATTATAGGCTCTCCCCTTAGATGATATGGAAGTTACTCAAAATTATGCTGTCTTAAAGAGGCAATGTTCAGAATGAGTTGTTTACCCACTCTACCTGTGGAACATGCCAATCCATATGAAGCTCTATATTTTAAAAAGAATTAAATTAGTGGTTCCAGCAGGTATGGGTGGAGCTCAAAGCTTGTAATGGCAAGGAAGAGAAATGAGTGGGATCTTCCTTTGATTCTTCAGAACATTAAATGAGATGAACAAAGGAGAAATTAAACACAATGCTTTGCCACAGCACCATGACATAAGTGTCAACTCAGAATTTCAATTACAATTATAAGAGTCTTCTAATAATTATATAGGTAGTAAACAAGGCTGCAGGGCAAACATCCGAAGCCAGGAATGACTAACAGATTTGTGCAAAAAAAAAGGAGTTTTACTTTTTTATTTTAAAAATGCAGTCAGTTCTATATGTCCCATGGATCATATTGTGGTAAGATCAAAGAAGTGGGAAGGTTAAGAGCAGTTAATGTTAGACTCCCCCAGCCCATCATCCCTTCCTAGCCTCTTCCATATTCATAGCAAATTGTCATCCATATTCATGAGACAAACCTTTGACATCCAGAGGAGATTTTACTACTATAAACTCCTATTCAGTACGGTGATGCCTTCTTTTGTAGGCACAGCGAACAGCATCACATTAAGGTCTACATCACCATAGATCTCCAGAAGATCGGAGGGTAACACAAAAAGGGAACCATGACAACAGGGTGGGAGATCTAGGAAATTACAACTCCTTCAGTCCAGATCCTGTCCCAGGTAAATTGGTTGTAAGCAACTATACAGCTAGAACGGCTAAGCCCATAGAAGAAGAACAAGCCTTGCTAAGATAAATTGAACCAGCTTCTATACAGAGAGCTTTACTCTGAGCTTTCACTCAGAAGCTGTGAAGAACTTTAGAAATATCTCTTCAAACCTGACAAAATCAGCGTAAGTTTAAGCCATTGAGGCACCACCTCATCCCCAAAGCCCTAAAACTAAAACACTAACACAGATTGTTCCGGAATTGGCTCTACACATAGATAAGTGGCTCTCCCAATGAAGCCTGGGCCACGCCAGGTGAAGTGCCTTATCCAGGTTCAGCTATAGATATAGAATAATAGAATCAGAGAATTGTAATGTTGGAAGGGACTCCCAGGATCATCTAGTCCAACCCCTTGCGATGCAGGAATCTCAACTGAAGCATCCATGACATATGGCCATCCAACCTCTGCTTATAAACCTCCAAGGAAGGAGAGTGTGCCACCTTCTGAGGGAGCCCATTCCGCTGTCAAACAGCTTTTACCATCAGAAAGTTCTTCCTGATGTTTAGTTGGAATCTCCTTTGTTGGTTCGGATCCTACCCTACAGAGCAGGAGAAAACAAACTTGCTCCATCCTCTTTGTGACAGCCCTTTGGATATTTTAAGATGGTTATCACATCTCCTCTCAGTCTCTTCCTAACCAGGCTCAACATACCCAACTCTCTCAACTGTTCCTCATAAGACTTGGTTTTCATCTTGGTCACCCTCCTCTGCACACATTCCAGCCTGTAAATTCGGAAGTAAGTCCAACTGAATCTAGTAGGCCTTGCTTTGAAGGAAGTGGGGTTAGGATTGCTGCCTACACCAGGTGACAGAAGGCAGAGACAGACATAGCCACAAAGAAGGGCTTGTGTACCTCATTATGCAGAGGCCAAAGCGGTTTCTTTTTGTGGTTCACTGTATTATGATTCTAGAGAGCCAGCGTGGTTAAGAGTGGTGGGCTTGTTCATAATCTGGTGAACCGGGTTCGCTTCCCCGCTCCTCCACATGCAGCTCCTTGGGCCAGTCACACTTCTCTGAAGTCTCTCAGCCCCACTCACCTCATAGAATGTTTGTTGTGGGGGAGGAAGGGAAAGGAGATTGTTAGCCGCTTTGAGACTCCTTAAGGAGTCCCAATATATATATATATATTATTATTGAACGCTCTGCCACAAGAGACTAGGGCCCTGCGGGACTTGACATCTTTCCGCAGGGCCTGCAAGACAGAGCTGTTCCACCAAGCCTTTGGCCAGGGCACAGCCTAACTCCCTCCTTTGGCAATCTTCACAGAACCAATGGTTGCCATCAATTTGATTTGAATTAATTTTATAATGAAATGATTTTAGAATGTTGTATTATTTTATTGTTGTTAGCCGCCCTGAGCCCGGCTTTGGCTGGGAAGGGCGGGATATAAATAAAAATTTATTATTATAATTTATTATATCAAATCCAAACTCCTCCTCCTCCTCCTCTTCTTCTTCTTCTTCTTCTTCTTCTTCTTCTTCTTCTTCTTCTTCATTGTTACTAGAACTATGCGCTGACTTTGGCCAAATTTCTGAATCCCACCCCTTCACATTTCCCTTCTTCATGAGTAACTGTTCAGCTCCCACCACCATTTTGGACATCTGGCTTCACCACTTGTGGGGAGAGAAACGATCCCCAGCTAAAAAAAATAAAATAAAGTTTAGTGCTAATAGTAATCCATTCTCAGCTATCATCCACCAGCTTTTAAGAGCCAGATTTAAACGTAAGATTATCTGCCACTTTGTCAGGCAAATGGACTGTGTGCCTGAGACACTAGCGATGGGTTGCTATTTTTGTATTTCCAAATACACACAGATTGATTTCGAAGCAACTTCCTGTAGCAGTGAGGCGCAGCTTGCTCTGTCAACTCTTAAGGTACAGAGTGGGAAGAAAGGAAGCCATTGAAGTGATGGCTTTGTTGATAAGGAGGAAGGCATGCAGCAAATGTGTTCATGCTTATGATCAGCTTGGCCTCTGATGACAGCAGTTGCTGAAGATGTGGCTTCAGGTTGCTGCTTGTTCGGGGCCACAGCTGAAATTCTTAGGCATCCATGTGGGTTAACATTTGCAGTGTGGTTCTCTCCACCAGGGCTCTCACCAAGACAGAGATTCAGCTCCAGATTACCTTGGATGCTATGATGTAGCAGAAGCCAAACAACAGGTTCTCACTTACTACTGCCTCCATTACCGGCCTGTCAAAAATCTGGAGTTGGAAACAAATAGGTCTTTGCTTCCTTCAGAAATCCTTTCAGAAATTATTCTCACTCTGCAAAATAGAAATGGCAAGGGCCTGGTTCAACAGAGAATCTGTAATATAGGCAGCTCTAAACTCTGTACAGGGTTTCTGACAAACTTAGCAGAGCCTCCTAAATGAAAAGATCTCTAACGTGATCACAGGGCTGACGAGACTGGGACAAGAAACTGGTGGCAGGGTGGGAAATATTACTCTGTAATCCTCCCAGACCTGAAACTAGCTTTGCTTTCAGTAGTTTTCTCGTAAGAATGATGGGGGATCCTTTTTAATTTCGGAAATACTAAGAGAACAATCCTAAGTATAGGACACCAGACGAATTTATGCTGACTCAAGTTTGATTGGTGTCATACCTTCCAAAATGACGTAACCCAAATCTGGGGCACCATCTTCCGGGTTTGCGCTCCTATGTGAGTCACATGACATGCACAAGATCACGGCCCCCCAAAAAAGCATTTTTTTTCAGGCACAGCAGCCGAAAACATGTTCTGGGGCACGACATCTGAAAAGCATGCAGCCTGAAATCACCTGAGATTGCAGCGACCATTTTGGCCTCTCTCCTCTTGAGAAAAAAATAAGTGGGGTGTCCCTTTTTTTCTGGGGCAGTATGTGAGTATGTGGTGTACACCTAACTCCAAACTCCATTCAGCTACTGTAGATTGAGCCAGTCTGAACCCAGTGCAGGATTTACCTATAAGCTAAGCAAGCTATAGCTTAGAGCCCCACTCTCTTGGGGGCACCAAAAAAAATTTAAGGGGAAAAAAACTTGAATGTACATTTCGAAAATATAAGATAAAAAAACTAATAAAATAAAACCTACATGCAATTAGAGCTTAATAATTATTTCACTATTAATATACTTCTTAATTGTATTTCAGTTCAACAATTACTTTGATAAAATACATATTTTGTTATGTGCAAATGGCTTTAGATACCTATTAGGTTCATAAATGATCATATAGCATATATTCAACATAAAAAACAGCGAGAGTTTGTTGTTGACAAAGGAGAGCTGGACATAGAAAGGGCCCCATTACCTTCAGTAGTTTAGGGCCTCATCAAACCTAAATCTGGCCCAGCCTGAACCTGGCAGATGGAAAACAAGCCTTTAAAATGCAGTTTGGCTTACTGGATCAGGACATTTGCTCAGTTAGTCCAACATCCTGTTCTCACACCAGATGCTAGTGGAAAGCCTGCAAGCTGAACATGAAGAAGAAGAAGAAGAGTTTGGATTTGATATCCCGCCTTTCACTCCCTTTAAGGAGTCTCAAAGCGGCTAACATTCTCCTTTCCCTTCCTCCCCCACAACAAACACTCTGTGAGGTGAGTGAGGCTGAGAGACTTCAAAGAAGTGTGACTGGCCCAAGGTCACCCAGCAGCTGCATGTGGAGGACAACTGCACTCTCCATACCTGCGATTCCCAGCAGCTGCCATTCAGAGACATGGTGCCTCACCTGTGGCAAACTGACTGTCAAAGATGTAAAGATCTAATCCAATACAGTCTAATCCAATGCAGTCTACTGTGACAAAGCATGTTCTCCTTCATGGAGAGCACGTGTTGCAGTGGCGGCCGCCAGGACACTCCAAAGTTGGGGGCAGGCTAATTGACCGTTGGCCACTGATGCGATTGGGGCTTCCCTTGTTGTTGGGAAGAAGTTAATGTTGCCATTTGTTGATTGACAGCCAGAAATGCTAAAACTCCTTGCACGAGGCTAGGGCTTCCTCTTTTCACCCGTGCTTCGGATTGCCCGTCCCCCCCTCCCTAGAATTAGGGTTGTTCGCTTTGACCTTGCTATGCCTGTCATGGGGTTGTCTGCTTTGGGGCAGAGGCCCGGTAGGAATTTTGTCCATTTGGCTGATTGGCTGGGGCCATTTGGTTTTTGCCTACTGCGTAGCAAATTGTCACAACTTGTAAGGTTGCGGTTAGGCATTGGTTTATGGTTTGGTTGGTTGAGGGGCATGGATTGGCTGTGCCTGCCCCTCTAATGCTGCTGCTGCAAGGGATTCCGTTAAATGAATCGGGGGCTAACTATTGCTTGTCCACCCTGTCAAGGGGGCTCGGGCTCGGGCCATAGCAATGAGCTCCTGGTTGCATTTGGGGAGGGCTGAGGGCAGCTTCCCTGCTCCATCGCTACCCCCAAGTGTATTCCCCTTTTCTGACTTTCACATCGTGCGGAATGTCAGTCTGTCCCCCATGGTGGGGGCAGATAGTCGCAACCAATGCCTAAGCAACCACTCACATTTTTGTATTTTAATAAAGTTGTGGTCAAAATTATGCCAAAAACCTTAAACAAAAAATTCTGTGTGATGTGTGAGCTATTGGGGTGGCCCTGGGGACCTCAACACGCAACAGCAATTCTCAAGTCCATAAATTTTGGTGCAGACTATTCAATTCTACCATAAATGCTCTCATATTCAGGGATTTTAGAAAATGGCAAAATTTGATATGTCCGTATTTAACAGTATTGCCTTTAAATTATTCAGCAACTTGGGATTCTCAAAGCAGAAGTCCAATACAAAACTGGAAAATGCTCGAAACTTCAAAAGTTGGATTTAAATTCCCAATCATTGGGGAAGTTTTAATTTGCGCAAGCATCTATTTCTGCTCTAGAACTGACAGACGCTATCCAAAGAAGTTATCTAGTTGCTATATGGGGGTGGGGAATTGTAATAGCCTACTTTTTATATTTATAAGTTCATTGGTGTATTGCCAAAGCTTTGCACTTGTCAATATGGCACCAGCATCTTTCAGATGCATTTTACAGGAATAATAATCACTGAACTGGGATGTTTAAAAACTGGGAATTATTTTGCTGATGTGGTACTGTGCTGAGTTGGCTGAAGAGAATCACAAACAGTTATAAGATTTCAAGGCTGAGTTCCTCCCCCGCTTCCCTTAAGATTTATCTGATACCTTAAAAGTAGTAATTTGGGGGTAAATCTGATTATCAGCACCCAAAGGTGAATTTCATTGGCTTCATGCTGATATTTTCCAAGCAACCCATTTGTAAAACACAATTTCCAACTTTTGTTGCCTTCATTAAGAAGAAGAATGTTGATTAAGTGGAATCAGCATGCAAGAAAATATTTAGCAGCTGTTCTCTTATTGCAAAGCCGAAAATATATGGAAAAATAATCACATAGATATTTTATGCCAATTAGCAAAATACTTCTTTAATTAAAGCCAATACTAATGCTACAACGTTATCTTAGTATTATTAAATCTTAAGTCAAATGCAGCCTTTTTAAAAATGGAAAAATAAAACCTGACCTTCTACCCAATACTGTTGGCAAGATAAACTGAGTTACTTCGGTTACCACCTCTTTTCACATTTTCTTTTATTTCAAGATTTGATTTCCGATGCCTCCCTTCTTTATACTTTCAGCTTCGAGGGTAAGTACAAATTAAATGCACTCGTTTTGCTTATGTTACCAAATACCATCATATTTTATCACTGTGCTTTGTTTTCCTTTAATATTTTCTTGCTTAATCAGACGGTGGCTAGGTTAAAGGAGTGAAGATCTTCCATCTCTCTCTTTATCAAATTATAATAAAAAGAATATGTGTAGCTGATAATAGAAGGGATACAAGATAACCTCTTCACCAGCTTGTTGCTATATCTGAAAGGAATGCAGTCGACAAGCCAAAAATCAGCTCTGCAAAATGCAAAAGTGATTGACCAGCTTTTACGGACAAGGGATTAAGTCTGACTCTTTCTGGTATCTTCACTTTTTTTCCTTCATTTGCACAGTCCCCCCTCCCCTCATTCTCAGCTGACAATCCTCTGTCCCTCCCCATCTTCTAAAACACAATGAAAAGTTAATTGAATGTTTTATGCTTTAGTAATATCAAAGAAATGAAAAAAGTGGGTTTCAACTGTATTTCAATAATAAGTGCATTAATTTTTACCTTTTAACTGACTCTTGTACTAATTTCCTTAAATGCTCTTTTTCTTTTCTTTTCTTTTCTTTTCTTTTCTTTCTCCCCCCCCCCATTCCACCCGCCTTTTTTGATCTGTCTGGCTTTGTCGGGTCTGATGATGAGGGCTTACTTCAAATGCAAAAAGATTAGCTCTCTTTCCTTTAATAGCACAATTATAGCGTGTGTGATGTCTAAATCATGAAAGATATCAGGGACAGACTTCTAAAGTTGCATCAGTTTATTACAAAAGTGGCAGTAATCATTTTAATATCAAAATTACTCTAATTTCCTCGTGGTGTTTAGAATGTGTTGCAAGCAATTGGGGGGGGGGGACACAGAACAACACCCAGTGTGGTAGCCTTTTGCTTCTAAACTGATTTAAGCAATTGTTTTAAATAATGCAATGAAATCAAAATGACTTGCATTTTATTTTATTTCTGCTTTAGAAATATAGGGATGGATGGACAGAGAACTGGATCGCAGAGAACACCCAAAACAATACCTGATTATTATTTTTTACCTCTACCTGCCTGAAACTGTGAATAGTCAGGGTAGAGACTACTGGGCTTGGAAGACCTGGTCTGACCTGGCATTGACTCATTTTGTCTGCTCAGAACACAAAGAATCGCATTGGTGTTTAAAGAACTAAATGCCTCAGGCCCCAAATATCTGAAAAACCACCTCCTTCCCTACAGAGCGTCTTACCTCCAGCCTTCCTCACAGGGTTGTTGTACAGATAAAATGGGGAGTTGGGGACATTGTGCAATTCCTTGAGCTTCTTAGAGGAAATATCAGATATCATTGTTATAAATGAAACATGTACTCCTTGAATGCCCTTATTATAACGATCTGAGAAACAATTACATGCACGCCTTGATCGCGGAAGGGAAGGTCATCTCTTGCAAAGACCTGATTTTCTTGTTCTCTGGTGTAGAGAAGTATATATCCAAATTTCTTACTAAGGCTCTACAAATGTGTGTAACAAAACCTAAAGGGGATATGGGAAATGATTTATCCTTTAAAGGTCAGGGGGTGCAGAAATGAAAATCACTATTAGTAGCCGGATTCTTGTTGTTATTATTTTTTTTGTGCGTGCAATGGTCGTTTGTTAGAACACAGTAAACCGAACCAAACTGAGCCGTTATAAATGAATTAAATAACCTTCCCCCTGCAATGTAGTGGAGGTAGAATTTTGGAAGGTAGAATTTTGTGGGCATACAGGTGAAGCTCATACTCGTATTTGGTTTGGTGCCAAAAGAGAAATTCTTCTCTGGGCACAGAAATGCCCCTGGCTATAAATTTCCAAACGGATAGTTGACCAAGGAACATAGGAGCTAACTCCTAGGGGCCGAGGGGTCTTCACCCCTCCCCCCATAAAATATTTTAGGGGGCCGGGGACCCCAAAGTTGATGAGCACTGCCATTCAAATAGTGTGCGTATGGCACATCATGTAATTAATTATGTGGGGCTGGGCTTACCTGCACCCCCCCCCCAATATTTTATTCAAGTTGGCATCCCTGTTAAGGAAAGTGTGTCTGTAATTCTAGACTTATGTTGTGGGTGAACATATCAGATAACACAGCGATTCTTCAAACAGCTCTTGTTTATTCAGAGGCCAGAACAGAACTGAACTGAAGGGTTCAGCCAGCCTGCTTATATAGAGCTCCAGTACAACATAACTGTAACAACTTTCTGTAACTATCCAATCACTGAACGTCACTTTTGATCCCTTATTTGCATATGTGGACCTGAACTATCTACAGTATCCCCCTGCTGGCCCAGGGTGAGAACTTCAGTACATAACATAGACTATAATTCTCATAATCCCTGCCTGTGTCTGATGGGAATTGGAGTTCGACAGCCTCTCTAAAGCACCCCTGTGAAAACAGTAATATTCATTTCAAAAACTGAGACAAATGCAGCTTACAGGCTTAAGCCAAAAGTGGAGCTACTGACAGAACTCTGGATGATTTGTAGCGAATCAGCCATTGCCTAACAAGGACAACAGCAAAATGAGGCGCTATTTGCATTTCCCCCCAAAGGATCCTGGGAACTGCACTTTGTTAAGGATGCAGAGATGTTAGTAAGTAACCAAGAGTGAGCTCCTTTGTAGAAGGACTATGAACTCAGTTTGGTACCGAAAACCACTTCCTAGGCTCAGAGGCAACCTGCTATTTAATTCTAAGCATATGACTTTTCCACCTGGTTCTCATGAAAACAAAAAAGGAGGTCCATCAGGTCTCAGTCCTACAGCAACTGCACTTCAATAAACAGCTTGCAGGGATTGCGCCTTTAAAAGGAGAATAAAACGACTAAACAACAAAAGTGGGTCTACAGTGCAGCTATTTTATCTAGAACAGCAAAGAATCTTGTGGAACCTTAAACACTGACAACTCCATTGTGGCAAAAACTTTTGTGGAGTACCATTCATTAGGCGCATGACATGGACTTTAAGATGCCACAGATCTCTGTTTTTCCTGCAACAAACACAGCTACCCCTCTGGGAATCATCTTATATCTTGACATTTCCAGGGTTTAATTGGTGCTAGCTAGTTAATAAGGTACTCAGCCCCCAGGAGTAGCTACACAACAGATCAATCTGGGAAGAAACTTTGCCACATTTCTAGGTTCAGAATAGTTAAACAGGAGCAGCCTGACCTGTTGTCAGTCTATTTTAAGATGGAACATTTGGTAATTTCTAATGAAAAAGAAAAAAAAGTAGCACAGCACTTAAACTTTGGCAGAAGGACAATTTTTTAAACTGACTGGAATAAATCTGTATGCCACTGATCTGTACTTTGAGTACAAGTGATAAACATATTTTCTGAACGAGAATGAAGGGTTGAACAAAAATCATCAGATGATTCTCAAACCAGCTTGACCCAGATCATTAATATTTCTTGAATGGGAAGAGGATGCTAAGTATGGGTTGAAGGACAGAACAGGACCCAAATGGGGCTGAATAGGAAATCAACAATTTTATTTGTTCAGAATAAAAGTTTTGCTCAAAAGCCAAAGGGTGGAACCAAAGAGCTGTAAGGACCTTTGTTAACCCATAATCCTTGCCAGTCGAACTAAAGAGACATCATATGCACATTACTGAGAGGACTCAGATGAACATATATGTTAGCTTCGTTTGCTTTCTTTAAGCCTGGATAAGCATTGGGCAATAGCTGTTATTTGCATCTATGAAATTACCAGTGCAATCCTAGATATGTCTATTTTGAAGTACACCTCACTGTTCTCTACAGAGGTTACTCCCTTACGTCCATTCCCCCAAGTTGCTCAGTGAATGGGGAGTGTATTATTTTGCTGTGCCATTTTAGAATAGTGTGTTCTGGGAAAGGGTGAGGGCCACTGGCTGAATCTCGAAAAAGCAGCACTGTACACTGCAACGTTTTGTTGCAGCTGATTCCATTTGTGCTTTCATGTTTTTGTCGTAATGCCAACGGTTAAAGCAGGCTATGCAACTGACAACAAATTGCTCAGTTTCCCTTTCTGAAGGATACTTGACAGCAGTGGATTATTAATAAATGTGTGGCTTGTTTAATAAAAGTGACACGACTGGAAATACGTCTATTTGCATCTCATTTTATAGTCACAAAGGTATTAAATTTTGTATTTCCCACCATTAAAAAAAAAAGAGATGTGATTAAGGGGGGAAAAACCCACCTGCCTTTATTAGCTTGACACAACAATCATAAAATTTTCAACAAAGCATTTCTCTCCTTCAGTGTAGGTTTTAATTTTAAAATTCTTTATCATAGAAGGCAAATCGGGGCTGAGTTTTATTAAGCAAGCAACAGAGCTATATTTAGCCAGTTCGTTAAAGGCAAAGATGTATCAATTTAACTAAATCTTTAAAGAAAGATCTTTGATGCTGTCTCTAGAATCCAGAACTGAGAAATCTCAACACCATTTATTTAAAAACGATAGTGTTTGGAAATTTTGGAGATGCCCACTCAGTTAGTGAACACGGACTTTTGTCGATTTAGGCAATTGAGACTCTGCCCTACCAGCCTTCAGTCTGCCCTGGGCCTGTCCTCACCTGCCTGCATTCTAACTAGGTTCTGACAAGCTCTGCACCTGTCATTGGCTCTCTGGCGCCACCTACTGCCAGCCTCCCTGCCTTCAACCCTATCAGCATCAACGGGCACCAACCACCACTGGACCTTACTATACAAGACGAGAAGGTGGCAAATCAAGCTAATACATAAACGTGGTCCATTTACGCTGATCTTTCCAATGGTTAAACTGAAGGAGATGCTTTCAGTGCTAAACTGACCTCCCCCCACTCCACAAACAATCCCACTTTATCTATTGACATGTATGCTCCAGGGAGTGTGATAATGCAGCCTTAATTGTGTCTTGTTGAACTTGGCCATTTATACGACTAACCCTTTGCTGACTTGGTTCCCTTTTATATATTAATAACTGTTCCAAATGATGTCTTTTCCTATTAGAGTGTCATTTTGTCAGCAGTATAGGGCCTGATTAAAAGGAGAAGGGGCGGGGGGAGGAAGAGGCCATAAGGCACTGAAGGCAAAGTGCTCATGGCGACATGGCAAGCACGTGGTGCTCCAAAACAGCAGTGATTAATTCATTATAAACACCTTTGAAATTTTTTTTCTTATTATTTCTTTTTCCTAGATAAAAGCTTGGGGGAGAGGAAATCCACCTGCCTCTGCTGGAGACAGAGACAATGGATGGCTGCTGAATAAACTTGTACAGCTTTTGTCAAGAAGAATGAATCCTGCATCTTCAGAGCAAGGTGTTGATTGTAGCCACACAGCTATACACAGAGGGCTTGCGCTTTGTGGAAACAGAAGACACCCCTTGGTGCAGACCATGGGGGAATCTCAAGGCAGATCTGTTTTCAGATTTGGTGGGCTGTTTTGTGTTTTTACAGCAGACCGGGAGTCTGTGGATTTAGAGAAGCACGTGGCTGGTTTGGTCTCACTGGGCACAGAGCCTTGCGGGTGTTGCTGGTGATGGGTGGTTTTTTTAGTTGGAAAAAAAGTAAGTGTGACCTTCAGGATGTTCCTGAACTAATAATAATAATAATAATTTATTATTTCTATCCTGCCCATCTGGCTGGGCTTCCCCAGCCACTCTGGGTGGCTTCCAACAAAGATTAAAAATACATTAAAATGTCACACATTAAAAACTTCCCTGAACAGGGCTGCCTTCAGATGTCGTCTTCTAAATGTCAGGTAGTTGTTTATCTCTTTGACATCTGATGGGAGGGCATTCCACAGGGCGGGCACCACTACCAAAAAGGCCCTCTGCCTGCTTTCCTGTAGCTTTGCTTCTCGCAGTGAGGGAACTGCCAGAAGGCGCTTGGCACTGGATCTCAGTGTCCAAACAGAATGATGGGGGTGGAGACTGGGCCGAGGCCGTTTAGGGCTTTAAAGGTCAACACCAACACTGAACTAGAACTCCCGCCATCTCTGACTAATGGACCATATTGGCTTGGGCTGATGAGAGTTGGAGTCCAGCAACATATGGACTCCAACACAGGCTAGATACCCCTGGAATAAAGCAATGCGATTCTTAAAAGCCACATCCTGCAAGGCGCTCATACTTGGATGCCTTTAAAATAGGGTTAAGATAAATTCATTGAGGATATCAGTGATGGCTCTGCTCTGCTTCCATGGTTGGAGGGCAACAATGTTTCTGCATTCCATTTGCTGGAAAGCACAAGAAGGGCAGAGCTCTTCTTCTCAGATCCTGCTTGCTTGTTTCCTACTGGCCTCAGGTTAGCCACTGTGAGAACTAGATGCTGGAGTAGATGGGCCACTCGTCTGCTCCAGCCAGGCTCTCCTTAGTCTCTTAAATAATGAGTCTTCAACTTCGTTGGACTGGTCATGTTGTGTGGATGCCTGATTATTGTCTTCCAAAGCAACTATTCTATTCCTAAAAATGGAAAGCGTAATGCTGGTGGTCAACAAAAGAGGTTTAAAGACTGTCTCAAGGCAAATCTAAAAAAATGTAGTATAAACATTTATACTGGGAAACACTTGCCTCTGAGCGCTCCAATTGGAGAACAGCCTTTAGCAAAAGGTGTCATGGGCTTTGAAGATGCTTGAACTCAGGACGCAAGGGAGAAACGTGCCAAGAGGAAGGCATGGTTGGCAAATCCACACCGTGGTCAACTCCCACCCAGAAACCAATGTCCCCACTGTGGAAGGATGTGTGGATCCAGAATTGGCTTCCACAGTCACTTACGGACTCATTCTTAAAACAGTGTTTATGGAAGACAATCATACTCGGCTACGAGTGATCGCCAAAGAAGAAATAATATGTTGGGCAGCTGCAGCTTTGCAGGGCATACAGCACTCTAGTAGAAGTATAAAAAGAAGAAGAAATGGGATCCCTGCCCAACACCTGGTAAGCTTCTCAGAAAGGGTGGCAGCAGGTGGCAAGGACTTGGATAGGCCCAGCATGGTGGCATACCAGGTGGTAGTGCAGGTCCCCTTGCCCAGGGCTCCCTAAAACCTGACCCAGCCTTGAACATCTGGCCAACCACCACTGGAAACGTACTCTAATCCAGCAAGCCAATTCACATTTCCTTGAGAACGAAGGAACTAATTTTCCTGTCATTAAGGAAGAAGGTTTGTCCGGTGACTAGCTTGAGAGGCACATAATCGTTTGTGGCTTTTACAGGCAAAGGGAATGTTCGGTAGCAGGTAGAAGCCACAGCAGGAGGACCACTCTCACACCCTAACCGAGGTCCATGAGAGAGTTAGATGTGTGCGGGGGGGGTGTGTCCTCCATTACTGTCCCACATTATCAGATATGGTACCCCAATGTCTGAGCTAATGATTGTGGTGCAGCTTCCTTCAAGGTTACTAAATCAGCCTGCTTTGTGCTGAGGGCATCCTTTTAGTGCATCAGCAAAGGAAAGAGTGCCACCTACTGAGCCTTTGAACGACAGCTGAATTTGCCTGGGGACAATGTCCTCCATTGGAAGGCACCCAAAGCTGCCAAAACAGAGACAAAGGGATCTGCAGACAAGACAAAAAAAAAGCATGGCACCTTATTTAAAAATAGGCGAGGTAGCATGCATGGGTATAAAACATGGCTTTTGAATCAGCGCAGGGATGAGACAGGATTATTGGCTCCAAGTTATGTCCTAGTGAAGCACAGTATTGCTATTATCCAATATGTAAAAAGGATTGGGGTTTGGGGTGGTAGGTTTTGGGGTTCTTTTAGCAGCAGCCTCATATATTTTGAGCGATATCCAGGCCTGCCTATTTGCTCAGAAATCTGCGATGGCTGTCAATTTGTGACCAGGTTAAATTCAAGCTGGTACTATTGGTACATAAAGATGGATCACTTTACCTTGTCTCTGCCCTCTTGACCACTTCAGTCTGCAAAATGGGCAAAAGGTTCGTTCTGCACTTTCCAGGAATCGATCGTTCACTGTGGCAGCACTTTCACTTCGGAACTTGCTGCCTGTTTAAGTAAGGCAAATGCCCTAGCTACATCGTTTTGGACATCTGCTAAAAGCTTTTTTTGTTTTAAGGCTACCCAGCCATGTAAATTTGACACATATTTTAACATGATTTTTTTTGTATAATGCATATAATATAATATAATATAATATAATATAATATAATATAATAAATCATACATGCATACATACAATGGTGATCTTAGGGGGCAGGAATAGTCTATGTTCTTTTATGAGCAATTTTAATGTATATTTTATATGTTATGTAAAAGGTAAAAAAGGACCCCTGGACGGTTAAGTCCAGTCAAAGGCAACTAAGGGGTGTGGCGCTTATCTCGCTTTTTGGGCCAAGGGAGCCGGCGTTTGTCCATAGACAGTTTTCTGGGTCATGTGGCCAGCATGACTAAACCGCTTCCAGCACAACGGAACACCGTGATGGAAACCAGAGCACACAGAAACACCGTTTACCTTCCCGCCACAGCGATACCTACTTATCTACTTGCACTGGCATGCTTTCGAACTGCTAGGTTGGCAAAAGCCAGAACAGAGTAATGGGAGCTCACTCTATTGTGGAGATTCAAACCGCTGACCTTCCGATTGGCAAGCCCAAGAGGCTCAGTGGTTTAGACCACAGCGCCACCCACATCCTTGTATGTTATCTAAGCCGCGTGGTTGCTTCATATGAGCAACTGTGTGGCCCCAACATTGCTGCTCCTTCTCCCAGCCTTGTTTAGCAGCAATGATGCTGCTGTCAGGAGGACAGTTCTCCCTGACCATAAGTGTCCCCACTTCCCCAGGGATTGTGCCTGGGGCCTTTTGCGACAAAGTCACTGCTGCTTACTAGAGGCATCAAAATATCAGGGGCGTTCAGCATGGCACAAACACATCAGCTTGTATTTGAGCCATGCTGACCTCTCTGTTGCCTCATCCTTCTACCTGCTGCTAAGCAACAGTGACCCATCTGGTGGGAAGCTAAGCATAGCAGCTCCAGCCCACCAGGTGACCCCCTCCCCTTTCTGAAACAACAACAATGTCTTTTTTATATTTCTTCCATTATTCTTACCTGGCTGTTCTCCACAAGGTTAATATGTCCACTCTTTTGAATTTCTCTGCAGGCATACATGTTTTCGACATATAATGCTGCTCCCCCCTTTCTGCTGCACACAGGAGCCAAATCCTAGGGGCCGAGGTCCCTTGCCTCCCCCTATAAAATATTTGAGGGGACCAGGCCCTCCAAAGGTTGATGGGCATTGCCATTCAAATGCTGTATATGTGTTCTGTGTCATGTGATTAGGGCGGGGCTTACCTGCCTCTCCATATTTTATTCAAGTTGCCTCCCCTGCTGCTGCACCTGTTATTTTTGAACATAAAATGACTGACAGCAGGCTAGACATAGAGCTGGCCCAGGCAGTGGAGAACCTTGGCAGCTCAAATTTCAGTGGTGCCCTGTGTAATGTCAAAATCCACCCCTCACCTCTCACCTTCTGTTGGATGTCATAGTTGTGGTGCCCCAGAAGTGGCTGAAGCAATTGTGCTCCCCTAGATTTTCCTCCCAATTTACTTTACAGGGGTGTTGTGAAGATACAATGGGAGAGAGGAACAAAATTTGTAACCCTGGGCTCCTTAGAAGAAATGTGGGAGTGGGATGCAAGCTGGGATCTTGTTTTTTGTATCTTTTTCTCTGTTTTGTATTTGTTATATATTGGAATAAAATAAATAAAAACATATTTAAAATAAAATAAAATAAATAAGAGAAGTCAGGTGTAGATGGCAATCCCCACCTCTTTGTAATCATCAACATCCAGGTATATTGAGGCCTAATTTTGTTTGTGTGTTTAAGGAATGATTGTTGGTTTAGCTTTCTTTCTTTTTATTTTTGCTTGTGATGAATTGCATGTATCAACTTGGTTGCCTTCTAGGTGGAAGGGCAATTAATACACTTGATAAATCAGCAAGCCAACAGTGCACTTTTCCAAGATACGGACCACCTTTTCAAAGCCCACCTAAATTCACTCACACTGCTCATTTTGCAAAAGAATGCAGAGAATGGATCTTTAGCCAAGCATTTTAAAACCTCGACCGTGGTTTTTTTTTTTAAAAAAAAAAGCATAAAATTTGGGAAAGGAATGGTTAAACATTTTATTATTCATGCCACATTCAAAGTAAATTGTGTAATAGTTTTCATGTCTTAATTACTTAAATTTTATATTGAGCTATAGCGATATTATCTCTCTTTTTGTCTCCACACAATTGTATTTTATAATAGCTTTTATTAGGGCCTACATGAATGGAATTTCAAATGAACACATCATTTCTGTTACTTGGGCAGTTGAGAAAAAGAGAGCACTTTTCTGATATTTGGCATGAAAAGCACTTCCCTTTGTGTTTTATGACATATAGAGAGTTGCATTCGGAAAGGACATATTTTGAACATAATGGTAACTAAGGGAGAGGAGAGAATGGTAGTGTCGCTTTCGGGAAGTTCCTCTTTGCATGAAGAGGAAGCTGGGGGTAGATGCTGCCCAAGGCGAGAAAAAGCGTATTTCAGGAACTCCTCGCAGTATCTCTGCACAGGTTGCGGCACAGCATCTTGGCATCTGGAGGAGCAAGGTCAGTAACAGCATGTCTGGTGGGGCGGAGTTACTGGGATGCCGTGCCCTGACACGGCCATTGCTGTTGCTTAGAAGGGGTGGTGGCAAAGTAGAGCACCAGATTTGAGGCAACACTTTCGGCAGTGCGACCACATGTCCTCAACCTTCCTGCTGCTCTGCCCTATCCAGGGAAGCGGCAGCAATGGCAACGTTCCACCACACACGGATCTTGTGCAAAACAGCATCCACCTTCCTGGGCACTGATCAGGGCCGTCTTACGCATAGGCGCTTGGGTGTGGGGCATCCAGGCGCTGGGCTCTCAGGGGCACCAGGCCGAGAGTCCAGGGCCCAAGAGTTGAGTCCGGGGAAGAGCCCGCCCATCGGTCGGAGCGCCGCAGCAGGCTCTTCTGCTGCGGGCGGCTCTCCACCCCAACAGCCCGTCCTCCTGCCCAGTGTCTGACAGTAGAGTCGTCAAAGTCTTAAGGTGCTGCAGCACCATGGGACCAAAGCAAGCAGGCGCTCCGGGTCCCTGGACAGGCTTTCATGAGCTGCCCGCAGAGTCTTGCCACTTGGGTGCCCGGCAGCCGCCTGCCTTAATTTTCCTCCTTCCCTTTCTCTGCCTCCAAAATTTTAGTCACCTTGCTGGAGACAGAGGGCAACATGTGAGCAGGGAGGGCAACGCAGGTGACAAATCAGCTCGGCAGAGTCCCTGGCCATTTGATTTGATTTTTAACCCCCTCCCTGTTAGCAACATCTGGCATCCAACCGAGCTCCGGCCGCAGCAGCTCCATCCAGAAGGGGGGGGGCCCTGGGCGGATTTTTGCACCCCTGCGGTACATATGCTTAAGACAGCCCTGGCACTAATAGGTGGTTTTTGGCAGCCATCTGTCTCGAGAGACAATGGAGTGTGCCTCTAAGGGTGAAATCAAACCACTGGAGAATCACAGCGTCTGCTGTGGCTGCAGAGACCAGTAACTCATAACCTCTGCCTCCCATGTTGTTTATGCTGTGGTAGCAGCACTGATGTGACCTCCCTGTGGTGCAAGCTCCAACTGTCAGAAAGTTCTTAGCTGAAATCTCTTTCTTGTAACTTGAATCCATTGGTTCGGGCCCTGCCCTCTGGAGCAGCAGAAAACAAGCTTGTTCCATCTTCCACATTGCAGCCCTTGAGATATGAAGATGGCTCACTTCTTAGTCTTCTCTTCTCCAGGCAAAACATACCCAACACCCTCAACCATCACTCATAAGACTTAGTTTGCGGATGCTTTATCTTGGTGGTCCTCCTCTGCTGGCAACCTGTTTATTGAACAATCATGATTTGCTTGTACAAACCTACCATAGAGTTTAGAAGATGTTCAGCCTTTCTTGAGCATTCATTCATTCTTGCTCGCTTGTGGGGAGGTTATATTACAACGAGCATTCATCCTGAATTTGTCCTGCTTTGCTTGTGCAGTGGTTATACAGCTTTCCATTAATCAACAGTTCATCCCACATTTTTCAGTGTAATTCCACATGACTTTCCTAACCGTGAAAAGGCAGCTTTTTAAGAAAAGTTGGTTTGCTGCACCAGGGGTGACAGAGTACTTTTATTGTGCAAACCTAAATTTTGGATCTTTGCCTGAATCTCTTCCCCAAAACGCAGGCAGTCTGGAGGCAACCTCTCAGTTCTCACCAACTGCAGCCCTTTTGTATAAATGGTAAGAGTCGTCTAATATTTCGACAGAGTCCCTCCATCTGTTTTGCTAAATGTCATACCTTCTGCATTGATCTCCATGAGCAGTCATTCATCCTGAGCGTAGATGATTTTTTTTTTATTCTAAGGAACGAGTTGGCTTTTCTCGCTTCTGCTCAAGCTCCCCTCTCCGCCCCCCTCCCCTGCTCTTTTATTAACATGTCCACACTGTTACTAAACACAAAGGGTTTCTCAAGGAAGCAATTTTACTACATTTGTTTGGGAGTTATATGGATCTTCGGAATGGAAATTGAGAGTACAAAAATAGATTTGGTTGATTTATGAGACATCTCTGTTTTCAATTCACCATCAGTATGTGCAGACACGATGCAGTCAAGAAATGAAGCATCTGGTTCCCCCACGTTTCATTTATGAACTTTAGCACCAGATGTAAATCATTCATAAAAATCCCAAAGTGTTGGAAGGGTCTCTTCCTTCATTTTAACAAACACAGACTGCAAGTACTGTACCTAAGACTTCACATCATTTGTTACCAACGATAGGATCTGAATTTTAAAAGACTCCCGGAAAATAAATTTCAAAGAGGATGGGAGGAGAAATGGGAGGAGGAGGGGGGGATGAAAAGAAAATACAGGTGATCCTTACCATCTTTTGCGCCTGTCGGCAAATTTTCTACGAAAACAAAAGCTGTCACTTTTGTTTACTCAAAGGAAGCTTAACAAGCAAGGCAGGGCTTTTAATAGGAGAAGAAACCCATTTGTTTGCCTTTAGTTTTCATCAGAGTCTTTCCATTAGTCTAATACCCACATCAGAAACAGAGGAAAGTGTCTCACCCTCAAGTCCTCCCCCTCTAGCCCAGTAAGAGTCACACCGCATTTCCCTTCCCATCCATCAACCACCCTTCTCTCCTCCTTCCAATCCCTCTTTGAAACTTGCGTCTTCAGGCAACCCCACCCACTTTCTTATCATCCTTCATAATCCTGTGTTTCCACTTTACATCAGAACTATGGCCCCTTGTCTCTCAGCATAAGTGAGCAAGGATGCTGAAGAGCAGGATCAGAGGGTTAGGCTCTTGTAAGCTCGTTGGGATAAGGGAACCGGACTCCTCCTCCCATGTCAAAGCACCTTATATACTACCATATAGTGCAGCTTTACGCCATATCGTAGTAGCTTCTCCTGGTGGCAAGCGTGTGGCATCTTCTGTTCTGCTTGGCAAATTAAGGAGAGAACTACCTAATCCCATCATACGGGCAAGGTGGCCAACCTCTTTAGGCCCATTTAGCTTTTGGAATGAGTATTGTGTGCAACACCCCCCTCCTTGAGATAGGCTACCCCATACTTTGCAAGAGGCAGAAAGAGAAAGAGCACACAATTGCATACACCTCGCTTTCCCGAGGGATCTGCGTAAAACTTATGTCTAGTAGAATTCATCTGACTCTGGAAAGGCACATAGAGCTGAAAGGGGAAGTGGGAAAGAGCGTCACTCTTCTAACTTCCTCCTTCCGCTCTCCTTTTCAAGGGAGGAAAAAAAGGTACCCATCCTTGACCAAGCAGGAAGGATGGGGGGCAGGGTGGGAGGAGTGTCTCAGAGGCTTCATAAGCACCAGAGGAAGGTCATAAGGGCACCATTGTGCTCATAGAATTGTAGAGTTGGAAGAATCCACAAGGGTCATCTAGTCCAACTCTCTGCTTGACCCCACAACCTCACCTTTGTCATTGAATATATGCAAAATATATTTCTCTTTCCATTGTCCCTTCTGTAAAATAATACACATTTTGCGGTAATGCTATGGCACCTGGTCGACACACTGGTTACACTGGGCTTGGATGTGTCTGAGAATTGCACAAGAAACAGCTTCCTAACATGTGTACTTATACAACAGGTGTGAGTAACCTTTGACCCTCCAGATGTTGCTGAACTAAAACTCCCATCATCCCTGGCCATTGGCAGTGCTTACTAGAGCTTATGGGGGTTGTAGTTCAGTTACATCTGGATTGCCAAATGTTCCTCAAATCTGCCATAGATCCTTTGGCTATAGCAGTATTTGGCTATATTCCTCCACAACTGGTCATCCTCAACCACCAATTGTGATAGACTAAGCACTTGTAAGTAGACTCCAGGATAAAATCTCTTGACTTTAAGTGACGCAGGATCTCACCTCCAGAATATGTTGCACTATCAACACATTCTGAAGGAACATGTGATTACTGTGGATTTTCATAAGATGTATCATCCAGCTTCACTCTCTTTATCTTCATCGACAATCCACGCACTGCAGAAAGACATAAAGAGACAGTATAAAAATCGTCCAGACAGAGTGCTTGGGGAAATGATTGATGTTGGGCCTGCCATTTGAGAAACATGACAATTATTTGATTCCTCTTCCAGGTGTGTTATAATCTTCAAGCCATTCTCCTAAAAGATTCATATGCTAAATTGAAATACTTGTCTCTGTCATACAGTTCTTGGGTGGTTCTGCTCAAAAACGCCAAAGCTGCTTCCTCTCTGATCCATAACACGACCATCCATTCCTATCAGCTATCCTATCACAGACACCTAAATGAGTGTTTCCTTTGCAAAGGCAAAATTCCACCTGATTCCCTTATGATCCATGCCATTCCCTGGGCAAAATGCTTGCCAATTCCTTTCCTCGTGCAGATATTTCTATTTTTCTTGCATTACCAATTGATGAATGGGTTATGACACACTATTTACCTCAACTTGCAGCTCAAGGGAGCTCCCCTCCTCACATCTGCCACCCACTTGGATTCCCACTAAATAAATCTTAATCGCAAGGTAAGAAAAAGAAGAGGGGAAGTGAAAGAAAGAAGACCCAGCAGCCAGATTGCTGCAATTAGGCGTTTGGCTTACAACATCCTTCTACAAACCAAACAGTTTGCTTCAGATATTAGGAGAATCTCATAGTTAATGGAATATCTCCTCCCACATAAACCTTCCAATGGCACTTCCTGTTTATTGATTATTCATCCTAATTTGTTTGCAGGGAGCTGGGATAATGTGGCATCAAGCAAGGGTTAACCCACACTTCTCATTATTTCCCCATCACTTTTCACACTGCAAAAAGTCCCGTCTTCAAGGGAAGCAGGTTTGTTGTGCAAGGCCTCCCGTCCACACTTACGTTTGCCACCTGAATTTGCTGGTATGCAACTGAACCTTGCAGTCTGGAAACACCCTAATTCTTTGAGATCAACTGGAGAGGCGTTCCTGTAGGTTTCTCATTCCTTTAGGTTCCTTCTGAGAATAGCTAATGCTATTCTAGGCTGCATCAACAGAAGATAATGTCCAAATCAAGGAAAGTAATAGTACCACTCTGTCAGGAACGTCCCTTCTCAGAGCTACAGTGAGGACTCTGAAGGGTAAGGAGAAAGCGAGAAGAGAAAAGTTTCTTTCTCCCTCTCTTATGGCACTAGCTAGCCCTTGTGGATATCCAATGAAGCTGAAATGTTGGAAGATTCAAAATAAAATCCTTCACACAGCACATAGGTAAACTACAGAATTTTCTTCCACATTTGGCTGTGATGGCCACCAATTTGAAGGCTATCCACATTCACAGAGGACAAGAATATTAGCAGCTACTTGCTACGATGACAATGTCTCTGAATACCAGCAGTTGAAAACCACAGGAAGGGAAGGTACAGTTGCACTCAGGTCCTGCTTGCAAACTTCCCATTGGCATCTGGTTGGCCACTGTGAGAACAGGATCCTGGACTAGATGGGCCTGATCCAGCAGGGCTCTTCTTGTGTCCTTATGTTCTTGATCATTAGCAAGTGGCAATTGTTGCACATTGCCATTATGATGGGTAGCTTTTTGTACAGAACCCAAATAGGACCCAAACGCCCAGTGATTCCCCCTGTCATCCACGCACTGGCACCGATTGATTTGCTTTCTTTTATCACAGCAATGTGAACATAAAGAAATATGAGATAGTTAGAGATGCAGCCTTAGCCAGTGCTGTGCAAAACTTTCTAATAAATGAGATTTGTTAAGGATAAAAGTACAGTAATTGTCTTTTTAGGGGAAAGGTCAGTGGTACTTGGAAGAAAGGTTAATAGAACAATATTAATAGCTTTATACTGGGGCAGAGAGAGAGGCATGCAGTATTCATGGAAATGAAAAGCAGGAGTGAAGATGCTGCCCGTTACCAAAAAGTTAGGTCAAAATTCAAAAGGTCATCTTTATCCCTGGTGTGCCCAGAAATGACAAATTAGAAAGAATATGAAGTGTTATCAAGGTTTCCCCCCCCTCCTTCATTCAATTACTTTCACTGAAAACTACGGGAAGGAAGCAATCAAAAGAGCCAACAGTCACTGCCATTGACCACGCTTTGTTGAGACATCAAGGGAAGGTTGTGGGAAGAGAAAAAGTCAGCATGACACTGCCGTCAAGCTTTTACCCAAAGGAACATCAGCTGCTTTGCACACTCGAGCCATAATTTGTATTCGCAAAATGCCTTGTTGCAGGGAACCTGTTAAATGCGCACAGTGTGTTTCCACGTTTCACACACACTATGAGATGGTTTAAAGGTAAAGGGACCCCTGACCATTAGGTCCAGTCGTGGCCGACTCTGGGGTTGCGGCGCTCATTTCGCTTTATTGGCCGAGGGAGCTGGTGTACAGTTTCTGGGTCATGTGGCCAGCATGACTAAGCCGCTTCTGGCGAACCAGAGCATCTACCTTCCTGCCGGAGCAGTACCTATTTATCTAGTTGCATTTTGACGTGCTTTCGAACTGCAAGGTGGGCAGGAGCAGGGACCGAGCAACGGGAGCTCACCCCGTCGCGGGGATTCAAACCGCCAACCTTCTGATCGGCAAGTCCTAGGCTCTGTGGTTTAACCCACAGCGCCACCCGCGTCCCATGAGATGGTTTAGAAGGGATCAAATGCTGGTCCACCACCCCATTAACTTTGGCCATTGGGGACAGAGGGCAGGTTTTCTCCATGCACAGCAGCGTTCCAGGCTGAGGGCTAAAGTACATGTTTTGATGGCGACCAAGATAGGGTCTTTCCCCAAATAAGTTTAAGAGTAGCCCTGGGCAGGGGGAGGTGATTTGATTTGTGGAAGTGGCACTGGGGGAGGAATCTCTTCTCCTACGTTATTGCTATGACGATGCATTATTTTGTGTGTTATTTTACTGATACAGACATGTGTCTCTGAGTATTGATGGCAAGAGCTGCTGGATCTGTGTGCAGCTCCCCTGTGTGGTGACCCATTGAACTGCAAGTGGCAACACTTCTCAACCAATTACCTTCAGGTCTTGGACTGGCTCCGCCTACCCAGGCTGGCTGTTGAGTCATGCTAGGCAGAAAGGAGTACAAAAAGGGCTTTACTTGAGCAACAGAATCTTCTAGAGTGCTGGTGTATTCCTTTATACAGGCAACTCCCCATAGGCATGGGGGTCATGTTCTGTTTAATTGAGCACTTGTGTGAAATCGCATATAATCGAACACCCATTGCAAAATCCCTGTCCCACCCCTGCCCCATGCCACCCCTTTTTGTGATTTTTTTGGGTCACTTTGGATGTGCCTAAAATGGTTGCTGCCTGTATCTCCTTATTCTTTAGTCCTAGAGCTGGACCATAAAGAAGGCTGATCACCGAAGAATTGATGCTTTTGAATTATGTTGCTGGAGGAGACTCTTGAGAGTCCCATGGTCTTCAAGAAGATCAACCATATCCATTCTGAAGGAAATCAGCCCTGAGTGCTCACTGGAAGGACAGATCCTGAAGCTGAGGCTCCAATACTTTGGCCACCTCATGAGAAGAGAAGACTCCCTGGAAAAGACCCTTATGTTGGGAAAGAGTGAGGGCACATGTAGAAGGGGACGACAGAGGACAAGATGGTTGGACAGTGTTCTTGAAGCTACTAACATGAGTTTGACCAAACTGTGGGAGGCAGTGGAAGACAGGAGTGCCTGGCCTGCTCTGGTCCATGGGGTCACGAAGAGTCGGACATGACTAAATGACTAAACAACAACAAATCTTTGACGTGTTCCTTGATACTGCCATCTGCTTTGCCCTTCAGTTCTGACTTACTCTTCATCTTGACTTATGGCTTGATTCGCTACCTCACCATGTGTCCCAAGATCCCATGACCCTACAGTTCCCTGAGGGAAAATAACCAGACTATACAACCCACCTTTGAAGGTGAACAGACTTCTGGTTTGTCTGCTGGCCCTGACTGAGACCCTGTCCACACTTTGCACTTTAAAGCAATATCATAGCACTTTAAACAGTTATGACTTCCACAAAAAGAATCCTGGAATGTGAGCTTGTTAAGGGTAATAAGACCTGTTAGGAGGTGTCTGGTCCCCTCTCATAACTGCAATTCCCAGAGTTCCCTGGGAAGAGAGGGTTGACTGTGAAATTATTGGGGAGAATATGTATTTGGAGACATTCTCATGGGTGGGATCCTGGGCTTTTGTTTGCTTTCAAGCTGCTCAAAGTTTGTTTGTGGGTGTCCTTTCTTCCGTTCACATCTCTCCAGTGGGCTGGAAAACAAAATTAGTGACCACACCTCTCTCAGGTGCTCCATAGCCAGCCTCCCTGGCTCCTCATGCTTCCAATAAAGCTTGAGGAAAGATGTCATCAGATAACGTTTTCCATGGACCTTTTTTCAGGTCAGGAAGTGTTGGCAGGTGGGAGGGCTGCAGAGTTCCAGAGAAATATTCCATGGAAACAAGCACACACCCTACGCACATGCAATAATAAGATAAGCCCAACCCAACACCTACTGAAATTCTAAAGGGCCCGAAGAAAGAGACAGAAAAATGGAAATCTCTTTAACAGAGGGGGGGAAAAAACTTTTGAGAAACTGAAGGAGGGGTTTTGGCCAGGCGTTCATTTAGGTAGAACTGCTCAGGTGTTCTACCTGGTGTTTGTGATTTCAAAGATATACCAACATGGGATGAAAGTTAAAGCTGGGAAGAAAGGTAGTAAATTGTGACAATTACATTTCAACAGGGGGAAGAAAGCTGGAGATGAGTTAGTTTGGTGTGGCATATTAATTACTGCTCCTGGCCTGCTTGATAAGGCTGAAAATTCTTATCAGGTGTCAGGGCGAAGCTCACATGGGATGAAAAGAAGAATCTGTGAACATTTACATTACTGTTGCCCAACTGCTTGCCTATTCATTTGTGGAAATTCCTCAGGTCAAACAAACAAAACAGATTTGGAGAGAACAGATAAGAAATGCTTAGTCAAGGGAGACTCTGATATTTACTAGTTTGCTCATCAGGGAATTACCAGTAATTTTTTAAAAAAAGAAACACAAACCTTCTATATTTTAGGCCTCTAAAACTTTTTATCAGGATCCTTTGAGAATCCAGACCTTTTGGAGTAGATTTTACTGTTTCAAGGAAGCTGATTTCATGGGCCTCCTTTGGAATATCATCCTCTTGGGTTCAATGACCTTATTCAAACAGTGTCTATGCTGGGTTATCCAAATTGCAACATAATCAGAATCCAAAATCCTTCCAGATTATGCTGTTAATGTCATGGATGTACAGTTGGAACTAAATTTCTCTCAGCCTTCCCCCACCAGTAATTCCTAAACTGTGCCTCAATAGTGTGCCATTAAAAATGAAGTTCCCACCCACAGAGGAGGTTGCTCACTGTGTCTCTGTATGTTCTAGTAGTGTTCCAATGGGTCGTCTGAGAGGAAAATGGCACCCTCTGTTGGCTGCCATTATTTACCACCCTCCCCAATGCCCCCTCAGAATTATGTGATGTTGTGAGGTGGCATGATTTCACGGCCACGTGCATGAGAATATTTACAACCTCTCTTCAGAGTTGAATGGGCTGGCCTGTAAGATGTAAACAGAATGGTCAATATTAGACTGAGCCGTAAACCTTATCTGGATTCATAGTATGATCACTGTATGCTGTAGAATTAAGGCTGCTGTCTGATCTTGTGTTGTTGTTGTTTTGTGATTTCTCTTTTTTTCCCCACCTCCCAAAAGAAGTTTAAAAGGGAACTATTGCCAATAATAAGCTCCCGCCCAACTCAAGGATGTTAGGAAACAGGGCCTTGAGGGGATGTGGTTGGAGGGGGGTTGTGGTCTGGGGAGAATCCCAGGGCTCAGATAGAAAGGCTTAGAGGGTCACTTTCAGTGCCAAGACTGAGGTTCCCCCTCCTCTTCAAAGTAAAGCCTGAGCAATAGCAACACCCACTTCCTGTGTGTCTATGGGGATCAGGAGTAAGTCCATACGGTTCACCCACTAATAACTTTTAAGTTTTAAACTTTTTTTTTAAAAAAAAAAACTTGCTTTCTTTTTATTGAATTTTTAAGCAGGTTGTATTTTAGCTTTTTTAAAAAAAATTGTTTAGCTTTAACTTTGAATAATCGTTATTGTTTCTGATTCTAAAGTCTTGTAAGCCGCTTGGAAGGGCTTCTTGCCCAGTAAAGTTGGCATATAAGTATATTAAGTAAATAAATAACCTCTCAGAAGTTTGGTGAACACATCTCAGAAAACAGACTGCATGTTACTCCACAGCTGTTATTTAGCAAGAACTCGCAAACATATACCGTACTTTGAGTTGCTGTGAATTCTTTCCTGTGTACTTAAAAAATAGGGATGTTGGGGGTTTTTTTATATAAGATTACACATCCAGAAGTGGAACTGATCTTCTGTGTGTGAAGAACTAATCCCTGCTATGAATCTACAGCTAAGCAAACAGCACATTTATTTTCTTCAATAAGATCTTTTCAAGAGACTTCACGTCTACCTGCTTTTAAAAACAGATCTTCTGTTGCATAGTTTCTCTCTCTGTGTCTCTCTCTCTTGACTCCTCTGCTCCATTGCTTCTTAAACAATCTGAAATGAGTCTCGGGAAATAGTTATTACTTAGGGTTGCCAACTTTTGATATTAGCAACATTGCAACATGCCATGTGCTGCACACCATATCACAACTCCACCTAGCTCAGTGTTTTCCATGCTGGTTGAAAATGGCTCTGCAGCGTTTCAGGCAATAACATTTCCCATCTCTGTCTGGAGATGCCACAGATCCAACTAGGATCCTTTGCATATGTTGTACCACTGAGCTGTTCCACCTGAGTGAGGAATAAAGTGGAACTTGGGGAGAAGGACCTAGGACTGAACATGGCAGGTCACAGGAGGTCCTGGAAGAACCTAACAGGATGGCATAGAACCCAGTCAGAAACCAGTAGGTTAGAGAGGGACTAAGGTGAAACCTTGTGGTTTTATGGGTGTAGCACAGTCTTCTGCAGCTCCCTGACCTTTGAAAGCTGAAAAAACCCCAAGGGAAAAAGTTATCTGGTGACTTCTTTCACTGAGCTATATCCAAAGCAGAACAAAAGCCCTACATCCCACACATGCAAATTTCTCCACATACAAAATGTCTCCCCTCCCACTTTGTGGTTTTGGAATGCCATTTCTTTTATCATAAATTGGTGGGGAACGGTCAGGAAAGAACCGGCAGGATAAAATTTCAGCGCAGCACTAACATCAGCAGAGGCAGCGTCTGACTGTCAGCACAGGGCATGTGTGCGTGGTCTCTGATTGGCTAGCAACCCTTGGTGCAGGTGCAACCTGCTAATGTCTGCAAAAGTGGTTAGCCAATCAGCAACAGCACATTTGCATAGTGTCAACAGAGGTGCCCTCAGGATCTACAGCACAACCCTCAATGGTCTCGACTAAATTGGAACTTCCCTTTTTTTGGGGGGGTTGCTCTTTCATGAGAGGATGGTGCCCAAAAATGTGGGTCACATGACTTGCGTGGGAGTGCGCACCAGAAGATGGGCATCCTGGTTTCCCGCTGTGACACGTGGGAGAGTATGCTACTGCTGCCTCTCTTCAGTTTCTGTTTGCGGGAAGAAATTCTTCCTTTGACCTAAGATGAGCCAAAAGCCCATCTAGTCCAGCATTCTGGGCTGCATCTAGATACATCAAAGAAGTGTTTCAGTTGTTGTTGTCTTTGTCCATGGAGTTTTCTTGGCAGGGATACTGGAGTGGCTTGCCGGTTCCTGCTCCAGGTGGATCACGTTTGGTCAAAACTCTCCACTATGACCTGTCCATCTTGGGTGGCCCTGCACGGCATAGCTCATAGCTTCTCCGAGTTATTCAAGCCCCTTCGCCATGGCAAGGCAGTGATCCATGATTCATTTACAACACGTTTTTTATGAGAAATTGGGTTGGCAAAAATAGAACTCCACAGCGCCATCTGGTGCCACAGTGTTATGATGCATATACAATGCATATAAAGCGCTTTTTGTTTGCCAGTGTAGCTGAGTCCCTGTCCTCACAGTGGCAAGCTGGATTATGAGAAGCCTCCACAGGGCACTCTCCCCTTGTGATCCCAGGAACTGGCATTCAGAAGCATACTGCCTCCAATAGTGGGGGTAGAATAGAGTCATTGATAGTCTTATCCTCTGGGACCCAATAGCTCCCACAGGAGCAGCTCACAGTTCCAACTGAGTTAGTAGTGGCTGATTGACAACCCTGCTAGAATCCAAAGCAAAACTATTTATAGGGGATGGAAGCCAGGGCGCACAAATGCCAAATCATTTAAACTGATCACTCTGTTTTCTCCGAATTGGGAATGATTTTTTTTTTAAAAAAAGTGCTGTGCAACTTCTGGCTCATCTACATTGTTCAAAAAGAAGAAGATTTGTAATGTTACCAACACAGTTTTTTGGAAAAAAAATGAGCAAATTTCATCAAGAGGTTTGGCTTGACAAAGGTGTCCCCCCACCCTTCTTCTCCCGTATATAAATATATTGAAGTATTTAAATTGCTTGTAAGTGTAAAGCTACCCATGCACTGATACTTCAAGAAGTATAATGTGCAATCAGACATCATTTTTCCCCCTGATAGGATTTTTCATGTTGTCTTATAATGTAGTAAATTGAGAAGCTCAGAAGCAGAACTGCTTGTGGATTTGTAATTTTAATCATATATATATATATACATATATATATATTCTTTAATTTCCAGAATGTAATTCTGCCCCCAGCTGGTTAAAATATCGCTGACATGGGAGACTGAAAGTGAGAGAATGTTGAACCTATGAACTCTGCCGTCTCCTAAGATGATGACTCCCATTTGCATCTAAAGTGTTGGCAATTCTGGTGCTTAGTGCAGGTGCTGCTAACAGATTTGAAAGTTTTTTTATGGGTGTACAGACTGCTCCCTCTTTATTAGAGTGCTCATAACAAGTGTGAGATGCTTTTTCAAATACTTCTCACTGATTACGGCTACAGTGCATTACAACTAATGAGCTGTTGAGGACTAGGCTACAGCAATTATTTCACCAGTATCCACACAATAGGAAATTAATAGATTTCTGTGACTTGCATACACCCCAAAGTTCTACACACTGGATATAAAAGGGATGGGTGTTAATGCAAGGCTAATTTCACCACAATTTTCAGTGTTTTCTTTTCAAGTTTTTTTTTTAACTAAAATAGGAATACTGATATAGGAATACTCTCATTCCTCTCCCCAATCTTAAATTCAGTTTTCCACATTTCTACAGAAGCTTGCAATATATTAAGTTTAAACTCCTCATGAAAATCCATCTACCTTTGTGTGTGCATTTCTAATATTTACGTATCTCCTAATATGCACATTTTCTGAAAGCAAATTTCTCTAATATAATGCTTTTCTGTATGTTATTTTTCACCGTATGTTATTTCTGCGCACATATATCATTGGCTGGAGAACTGCATTGCAAAATTCAGAGAAGTGCGAATTTCAGAGAATGGCTGAGTTTTGGTTTGTATATTGTTTTGGGAAATGTGAATTAGGTAAATCTACCTTGAAATGTGAACAGAATTGAATTTCCCCCCATCCCTAGAATAATATAATATTAATACACACACATATCGGGGGGCACATTTCTGTGTGTGTTAAGTTGTGTGTGTTGTTTTCTTCCACTCCAAAGAAGAAGCAATAATCTTTGTACCTCATAACTCTTGAAGCACTTTGATCCTGTGTATTCAGAGACCTATGCGTTGTATATGCGATATAACACCATGACACCAGATGGCGCTGTGGAGTCCTGTCTTTCCCTACCAGATTTCCCTGTGTGAGTTTGCAACACGTTTAGCTGAATTGCTTCTTTGATGTGTCTAGATCCAGTCTTTATGTACATACTTAATTATACGCATTACATAATTTTGCCACTGGGGGCAGCAAAACAAATAACATAGTTTTTGGCGGAAGGTGAACTGCAGCAGAATGGGAACGGTGCTGCGTGCAATGAATATGGGATGGAATGGAAAACGATGCCCATTTTGCATCTCTAATTTTGAGGCACATTGCTCCTGAAATTGTACAAGGAGCAGAGACATTGTGGCTAGCAGCCACTGATAGCACCATCCTCCAATAATTTGTCTAATCTCCTTTCAAGTCGGTGGCCATGACTACATCTTATGGGAGCAAATTCCACAGCCCAACTAAGTTCTGTGTGGAAAAGTTCTTTCTTTTCCCTGTCTTTAATCTTCTAACGTTCCACTTTGTCGAATGGTCCCAAGTTCTGGGATTGTGAGAGAGGGAGAAAACCGTTTCCCTATCCAATTTTCCCACACTGTTAACAATCTTAAACACTTCCATCATGTCCTCCTTGGCTCACCTTTCCTCTAAACTAAAAAGTCTCAAATGTAGTAACCACTCCCCACAGAGGAGTTCCTTCAACCTATTGATCATTTTGAGCTTCCTTCCGAAAGCCTGCCACAAACGCTAGTCTGACCTAAGCCCAAGCCTGTTTTATTTTTGTGAGCAGAGCAGAAACGTACCGTCTCCATTTTGTTGTCTTGAATGTCCTATAGTTTCATAACAACAAAATGCCTTTGTTCGCGCAACTGAAGTATGCACCAAGAATCAAAGAAGCAAGAAAAAAGGGAATGTTCCAAGCTATTACTGTAACAATCCAATTACAATGCCTATCAAACTTAACTTCACAGGTTATAGCTCCTAATTGCCTGACAAAAATTGACACTTCAGTCGCAACAGCATAATATAATCAGAGTCCAAATTAAATTTGATCGTGGGCAGAAAACGATGCTATCATTTGGCGGCATGGAAACAGGAGATCAACTAGCATGATATCAAGGATCAGAAATGAAAATTATTCATTAATGGCAGTGGTTTTCTGATAATGGAAATGACACAGTTCAGACGGCTTCGTAAAAACACTATTAATTAAAAAGATGATAGACCTAACAAGGCATAGAAACTAGTGGAACCTTCCCCCTCCCCACCCTTCCCATACTTGTTAAGGTGAAGGATGACAGTGTTTAAGAACAGAAGTTTATGCACTTTTGAGAAAAGTATTCCGCTGATTCTGTAGCAAGTTTGTGGAGTTCTTGCTTAGTGAAGCATCTTCCTCTAGGGTGCTATGTCTGAGGGACATAAAAAGTGCCTAAGCCATAAGACGGCATTGTAATAAGCAATGATAGTTTGGGCTATAAAAAGAAGGGTCCAATTCATAAAAAAGATATCCACTTGGGATTTTTGCATACTCATAAGGAAAGGGGAGGGGAGGCTGCAGGGCCGAGGGGGGGAGACCCCTTTTTATTTCCCTGCACAGGGAGCTCTCCTTTCATTTCACACTGGAGAAATGTTTAAAAGGAAGTGAGTGCTAAAGAAGCAGCCAGCCAGTTTGCTCACAGGAACACCGAAACTCAGCTTGGCCGTGATGAGACAGGGAGATGTGTGTTCAGAAGAGAGCCATGGCCTCTCTTTTATTTTTGGCATGAATGTCCCATGTTCATGGGTATTAAATGTTGGGCAACTTTAAAAGAGTATTAGACAAATTAGTGGAGGATAAGAGGGATGTGGGTGGCGCTGTGAGTTAAACCACAGAGCCTAGGGCTTGCCGATCAGAAGGTTGGCGGTTTGAATCCCCATGACGGGGTGAGCTCCCGTTGCTCGGTCCCTGCTCCTGCCAACCTAGCAGTTCGAAAGCACGTCGAAGTGCAAGTAGATAAATAGGTACTGCTCCGGTGGGAAGGTAAGTGGCGTTTCCGTGCGCTGCTCTGGTTCACCAGAAGCAGCTTAGTCATGCTGGCCACATGCCAGCTCCCTTGGCCAATAAAGCAAGATGAGCGCCGCAACCCCAGAGTCAGTCACGACTGCGCCTAATGGTCAGGGTTCCCTTTACCTTTAAGGCTAGCAATAGCTACCAACCTTGGTGGCTTTGTTATTGTTATTATTTATTGCGTTTACTCTACCATGGCTGTCAGAGGCAGTATGCTTCTGAAGGCCAGTTGCTGGAAACTACAGGAGGGGAGAATCCTGTTGTGTTCAGGTCCTAGAATCACAGAATTGTAGCATTGGAAGGGACCCCAGAGTCATCTAGTCTAGCCGCCTGCAATGCAGGATTCACAGCTAAAGAATCCCTGACGGGTAGCTATCCAACCTCTGTTTAAAAACCTCAAATGACAGAGAGTCCACCACCTCCCAAATATGCACTGAAATGTTTCAATTATTGCTTTTAACTCGTTTCTTTTTAATACTTTGTATTTCATAACGTCAGTTTTCAATGTGGTGAGCCACCTTGTATGATCACCGTATCATTAACGCAACCTATAGTTAGGCTCTTAGGCTTACACCATACACGGAAAAGAAGAACCCTCCCTTCCATTTCTTTCCATTTTTGAAATGCAACAGCAGAGATGTTCATGAGACCACCCCGAGCTGCCGAGAGAAGATAGGCCATCAATCTAAATAAATAAATTCCTCGCTGCAAGTTGCACCCTTCGCCCCCCGTCTGTAAAGAAATATTTGTCACAATGCCTCTCCTTGCCGCGAGAGCCCAACACTCACGTCGCTGGAACAAGCTTATTGCCTGGTCCACCACTGAGCCTAAAACTGTAAACAGCTGTGGATCTTTGTAGTCATTAACAGACTCCTATTGAGTAGTGCAGAAGCCTGAATTCACCAAGGGAATGGGCTTGGCGCAAAGCCTAATTGTGATACTTGCAAAGTTTTAAAATAGGGGATCTGACGGTGGGCCAGCAACCCTGTTAAGCCGAGTTTCGTTATTTGTTTTCTCACTAAGGCCCTGCGTTTCCTGATCCAGTGCTCATTGCTGGGAAGTGAAGACTCCTCAGCTGTACACTATGTGCATTGCGGAGGGGGGAAATGGAGTAGAAGCACAGAGATGTTAGGCAACTTGTTACTCAGCCAAGAAAGAAACTTGCTTTAGTACAGACGAAACATATTAAAATCCCCGTTCTCTGACTTCTGGTTTTGCTGCAACTTGGGCCACATTCACACCATACATTTTGTGCACTATGATACCACAGTTGTGGCTTCCCCCAAAGAATTCTGGGAGCTGTAGCCCTCCCTATTCCCCTCACGGAACTACTATTTGCAGAGCTCCCTGTGAAGAGGGATTGCTAAGGCACTCTGAGAATGGTAGCTCTGTGAGGGGAGGGGGTAGCTCTGTGAGGGGACTAGGGGTTTCCCAATAACTCTCAGCACACTACAGCTCCCAGAAATCTTGGTGCATGGTGGATGGAGGGAGCTGGGATCCAACCTGCCCCCTGGAAAAGTTCCTCCGTCTGTGATTTAAATTGTGATGCACTGGTGTGGCCTTTTCCAGGTTTATTTTGCACAGAAATGACTCCATTCGTCATTCTTTATGGCTTAGGCTTTCCATTCAGGCCATTGCCAGAACCTCCACAGCTAAGAGACCATTACACTCCTGGAAGCATTAAAGAGAGCCCTGCAATTGTATTGGTAGGTTCAATAATTTGCAGATTAGCCATAAATAAAACAAAATCAAATAAATGAACCTTTTAGTGAACTTGCCAAAAGAAAGGATTCTGGCACGTAATTTTAATTATCCAGCAAAGCCTTTCCCTCGATGGGGGTATTTATCAAATCCAAAATGGTTCTGGTATTAAGCTAGCATGCACACACACAAAAAATCAAAACCAGCTTTACTTATGCCACACAACCAAATAATAATTTCTTTAAGTTTATATAGCCATATGGAATATAGCTCTCCCCAACTTCTACATATAACACCGGTCTTGAAAGACCTACACTGGCTCCCAGTACGTTTCTGAGCACAATTCAAAGTGTTGGTACTGACCTTTAAAGCCCTAAACGGCCTCGGCCCAGTATACCTGAAGGAGCGTCTCCACCTCCATCGTTCTGCCCGGACACTGAGGTCTAGTGCCTTCTGGCGGTTCCCTCCCTGCGAGAAGCCAAGTTACAGGAACCAGGCAGAGGGCCTTCTCGGTAGTGGCACCCGCCCTGTTGAACGCCCTCCCACCAGATGTCAAAGAGAAAAATAACTACCAAACTTTTAGAAGACATCTGAAGGCAGCCCTGTTTAGGGAAGCTTTTAATGTTTAATAGGTTATTGTATTTTAGTGTTTTGTTGGAAGCCACCCAGAGTGGCTGGGGAAACCCAGTCAGATGAGTAGGGTATAAATTATTATTATTATTATTATTATTATTATTATTATTATTATTATTATATCAAGAGCACCCATGACATGATGGGTCAAGAGCACCCGTGACATGATGGTACTATCAATGGGCAAATCTCTTTGCTTCCATGTAACTCAACTAGACCCATTTCTGCATTGATTGATCTATCTATATTAGAACAGGTGGGTTAAATTCTGCAGGTGCTTCCCTGCAAGGTAGCCCTTTGGGAAGGAGCTGCAACAGGAACCACAAAGCATTGGATCCTGCCGTTGACCGGATTCAATCCTGAGGTTGTGCTGGTTGGCTGTGGGTGGCTTCCTGGCAAGGAAGCCATTCATGGTAGGCACAGTAGATGGCTCCACACACGACTTAAGATTTCACTTACGAGCTGGTAAGCAGGAGGATTTGATCCTGGTCAGGGTCAGTTGCTGCCCTGCAGAGGAAGAAGCCTCTTGCAGGATCGGATTCTACTGCCTACCAGGTAGGATTCAGTTCTGCTTGGTGCTGCTTCAGAGGATGGGGAAAAGCAGACCGTCCTGCAGGCAGAAAGTTTGGTAGGAAAGACAAGGTGGAAAAATAGCACCTCTGCAGCCCATACAGCTGGACCATAAAGAAGGCTGATCACCGAAGAATTGATGCTTTTGAATTATGGTGCTGGAGGAGACTCTTGAGAGTCCCATGGTCTGCAAGAAGATCAGACCTATCCATTCTTAAGGAAATCAGCCCTGAGTGCTCACTGGAAGGACAGATCCTGAAGCTGAGGCTCCAATACTTTGGCCACCTCATGAGAAGAGAAGACTCCCTGGAAAAGACCCTGATGTTGGGAAAGATGGAGGGCACAAGGAGAAGGGGACGACAAAGGCTGAGATGGTTGGACAGTGTTCTCGAAGTTACCAGCATGAGTTTGACCAAACTGCAGGAGGCAGTGGAAGACAGGAGAGCCTGGTGTGCTCTGGTCCATGGGGTCATGAAGAGTCGGACACGACTAAACAACAACAACAGCCTATACAGGCCCTTTCTCCCCCTAGACTGTGAAATCCAAGCCCAATCTGTGCGACGTATCCAGGCATATGAATAACTGGAGAGAGTAGACTTGCCCACTGCCTCCACCCACCTCCCACCCCCGTCCACATGGTGATCCAAAGCTCTGAGAATTATGTAGGCCCAAGGTATAAATGCAGAGGCTCTGCTCTCTGCTTTGGGTGAATGCAAGGAGGTTGGCAGATGCTGTCATGCTCCCCAACTCAACTATTTAAGGCAGGGTTGGGAATAGGAAACGTCAGATCTCTCTACCTGGCCCTTGGGACAGGCCAAATTGGCATGCTTGCCCTAAAGATTCTATTCACCTTAAAGATAAAGGTAAAGGTACCCCTGCCCGTACGGGCCAGTTGTGACTGACTCTGGGGTTGCGTGCTCATCTCGCTTAAGAGGCTGGGAGCCAGCGCTGTCCGAAGACACTTCCGGGTCAAGTGGCCAGCGTGACGAAGCTGCTCTGGCGAGCCAGCACCAACGCAGCGCACGGAACGCCATTTACCTTCCCGCTATAAAGCGGTCCCTATTTATTTACTTGCAATTAAGAGTGCTTTCGAACTGCTAGGTGGGCAGGAGCTGGGACCGAAAGACGGGAGCTCACCCCGCCGTGGGGATTTGAACCGCCGACCATACGATCGGCAAGTCCTAGGCACTGAGGTTTTACCCACAGCACCACCCGCGTCCCTCTACCTTAAAGATACAGTAACATATATCTGTCATTGAAATTCTACTCAATATTGATCCAGAGTAGATTCCAATGTATAGTTGGCAGAGCAAAAACTGAAACAAGTTGCAGGATTCCCAAAAATAGACCAGAGGCAATTGCATTTCATTCAGCAGAGCTTTACTGCTACTGAAGGCAAATGAGCATAATGGTCACAAATCCAATTCATTCAGGATTGGCACTGTCCACTCCAGTCCAAGAAATCCAGTTGCAGCAGACTTAACTTAAACTTACAATAACTTATAATAAGTCTGAACCTTAACACTAAGCATACTGTGTACAGAACACCACACCAGAAGGAAAAGAAATCGAAAGAGAAAGTGAAGCCCTGTTTAGGGAAGCTTTTAATATTTGATGAATTATTGTATTTTAATATTTTGCTGGAAGCCACCCAGAGTGGCTGGGGATAATAAAAAATTATTATTATTATTACCCAGGCTCCTTCTGGCCTTCCTTTTATAGTCAGCATGACCTTGACAGAAAGAGATAAGAGAACCAGTTCAAACCAGCTGTACTCAGCTTCTCTCAAGGAATAACCCAAACATCATGAAGCTTCTTTCACACAGAGAAGCTTCCAGAAGCTTCCAGAACCCTCTTGAATAGGAAAGATCTCTGCATATCAGATCAACACTTTCTGCACTAAGAAATGCAAACTGACAATATCATGACATTATTTATTGTAATTGTTAAGAGTCAATTTCTGTTTAACAATTACTTGTTGATTTTTGAGAGTTAATTTTATTGCACACTGTTATATTCTAATAGATTATCGGATATTACTTTGTTTGATAGAAGTCGTTCCGTTTTAAAGTTGCATTATATTATGACTTTTTTGTATCGTATCGGATTATTAAAAGGTGTGTGTCCTTTGTTGTATATTTTGTTGCTGTAAGCCGCCTGGTGCATAGTAATACAGAAAGGTGGTATTCACATTACAAGTGAAATGAATTTTTAAAATGGTGTGTGCGCAAAGGGGGCAGCGGAATGGGAGAGAGGAGGATGAGGGAGAATGGGGGTGATCTGTGTGCAAGGGGCAGTTGGGAAAAGGAAGGGGGACAAGGGAGGAAAAGCAGGTGAAGGTGAAAATGATGAGAGGTGGGAAGGGGGGGTTGCAAAAAGACTGTGTCGGAGGCATGGGGCTGAGGTTGAAGGTGAAAGTGGGGGTACAAAAAGGGGCTGCAAAAAGAAAGTGGGGGTACAAAAAGGGGCTGCAAAACAGGAGGGGACACTGATGTTTTCAAGCGATTTTTAAAGGAAATTTGCAAAAAAAACCCAAAACAAACAGGTTACCACGCATGTGGTCTGTGAGCAGGGGATGCATGAAAGTAGAGAGGAGGAGAAGAATGAGAGTTTGGGTGAAGGTGAAAACAGAGTGTAAAGTGGGGTTGCAGAACAGAAGTGGCTTCAGACATGGGGTTGGGAAAGTGAAAAGAAAACTTAGTGGTTGCGTGGGGTAGGAAGGGGAAGAAGAAGAAGAAGAAGAAGAAGAAGAAGAAGAAGAAGAAGAAGAAGAAAAAGAAGAAGAAGAAGAAGAGTTAGGATTTGATATCCCACCTTTCACTCCCTTTAAAGAGTCTCAAAGCAGCTAACAATCTCCTTTCCCTTCCTCCCCCACAACAAACACTCTGTGAGGTGAGTGGGGCTGAGAGACTTCAGAGACGTGTTACTAGCCTAAGGTCACCCAGCAGCTGCATGTGGAGGAGCGGGGAAGCGAACCCGGTTCACCAGATCACGAGTCCACCGCTCTTAACCACTACACCACACTGGCTCTCAGAAAGTTATAGGAGGTTCATGTAAGGAAGTGGGGATGGGGTTGGCCAGCAGAGTGAGCAGGGGTGCAGTTCCTCCTACTTTAAATATTTTTTAATATATGAAAAAATAGCAGCAAAGATACAGGCAGGTTTTAGAACTCCCGGGATCTAACAAAAACAGTGCTGATATAATCTTGTATATGTTTTAGTTTCCTCATTTCAAATGCATCATTATCCAGCCTTGGAGAACAACATGGGAATCCAAACGAAATAAACATACTATGTGAATGAACAGTCAGTTCCACTTTGTAAAATATTAGCCATGTAATCTGCCATCAGGGGCAAAATTATAACTAAAAACGAAATTTAAGAATATTATTTCATCCAGCATCCTAGAAGGCAAGACACTTCGGGGCTTTCAATAAGCCAAAATTAAAAGTATTAAAAGTTTGCTACTTTCCCTTTGGAACCATTTTAAACCCTTTTTGTGTAATGAGGACTTAAACTAAGTAAATTATTTTCTGTTGGTAGCAACAAGGCCCTGTTCTGCAGCTATCCAGGTTCTGATTTATGGAGATGATTCAAACTGAATACTAGGGATGGGAGGAGAAAATTGAGTGTGCATTTAAAGCCAAATCTATCAACTCCTCTTTCTGAAACAAAAAAATAGCTGTCCTTAGAAATTTGCATTCATCCAAATTTTGCAATGCACTTCTCCAACCTAATACCATTTACAAAAGTGCACATACAATTGACTATATTAGTGAAAATAATGCACAGAAATGGGCTATATTAGGGGAAATTGCTTGCAAAACTGCATAGAAAACTCTTTATTGGGAGAAAATTGCACTAAAATGCAAATTTTCATGAGGAGGTTTTTGTTTGTTTTTTAAAGATTACAAATAGCTGCAAAATGTGGAGAACTGAATTTAAGATTAGGAAAATGAGTAACTAAGAAAACTAACATTGACAGATCCTTCCATCCCTGCTGAATACTCTTCTTCATCTTTCATGTAGCTCAAATGCAGTGGCAGCGATGAAAGAATGAGAATCTAGCAATGGCATACCCTCAACCTCTCCTCCTTTTTTTACTTACGTATAGCAGAGTATCCTTAAGTACAGTAACAGAAGCATGACATTGTCTCATGTTAGAGGTTATCCCACATTCAAATGAAGTCTGATGTGACATGACAGATGGGCCACATCTCATCAGCAAGTCAAGGAAAGACTGGCTGGAGTATTTTGTTCCATTTCAGTTGGTTTAAAATATATACACACATATATATATATGTTTGTGGACAAATGGCAGGAGAGAAGAAAAGAGAATAAAATTTGGATATGGAATGTTTTAAGTGTGAGGTAGCTTTGCAGGAACTGATACCTTTAGCTTAGAGCAGTTTCTGCTGCTGGCTTCCAGCATCCGACTCCTGAGGCAGTCACCTCATTCTGTCTAATGACAGGGCTGGCCCATAACTCTAAGATAGGATAGGTTGAGAGCAACCAACCCAAAGTCACCCCATGAGCTTCATTGTGGAGTGAGGATTTGAACCTAGGCCATCTCAGGCCTAGTCCAACACTGTAACCCAAGGGTGGGCTGAATTAGGCCTCACAGAGGTCCTAAATTGGTCCATGGGGCTATTTTCCCCTAAACCCCACTTACCTGCCCCATCCCTGATCAAGACTGAGGGACATCACCTTTGAACTCCAATTTCAAGCAATTTGTCAAATCACTTGCAAATGGACCAAGCCTGTTGAAATTTCTCACTGGGCATCAGGGGATTGACATGTGGTTGGCTATGTTTGCCTCTCAAAAGTTGGCTCATAGTGGGAAGGAAGTATCTGGACTAGTGATGGGATCCAGTTCCCCACCATCCTGGGTCTCAGTGTGAATTACTAAGCCAAATACAGACCAACCATTCATGGTTCCTGTCCAGGGAATTAGTAAACATTCCTATTTTTCGGTGTGTCCTGGACTGTGAAAACAGGGGATTTTCAAGCACCTAGCAAGAGAGTTCCATCTGAAGGAGGTGCATCTTTCATTTAATGTACATGCTTGGGAAAGCCTTCCAAGATGTTTCCTCTTCAGCTGGCCCTATCTCCACAGAAGGGGCCACTGATATGCCACTGTCCAGGTCCCACAAACACCTAAAAGCCCAACTGGAACTAGCCTGTATTAACTCTCAGGCACAGGCATTTCGAGCAGAGCTTTAGTTGCACCACAAAACATGCCAAAACAAATGTTGGAGATGATCCAACTTTTATCTGCG